AGCCGAGGAAGAAAAGGCTGATGCCATTTCTGCTGTAATCGATCGGCGTGATGTGCCAAATCGTGATACTCCTCTTCACCTGGCTGTAAAACTTGGTGATGAAGTAGCCACTGAGATGCTTATGGTGGCTGGGGCAGATTGGAGTTTGCAAAATGAACAGGGATGGAGTGCCCTTCAGGAAGCTATTTGCAACAGAGAAGAGGTTATCGCCCGGCTGATTATCAGGCATTATCAGCCTTTGGCATGGGCAAAATGGTGCAGAAGATTGCCTCGCTTAGTGGGGACCATGCGAAGGATGAGAGACTTCTATATGGAGATAACATTTCATTTTGAGAGTTCTGTGATTCCTTTCATCTCAAGGATTGCACCTTCAGATACTTACAAGATTTGGAAAAGGGGAGCAAATCTAAGGGCGGACATGACTTTGGCTGGTTTTGATGGTTTTAGAATTCAGAGATCAGATCAGAGCATTTTATTTTTGGGTGATGGATCAGAGGATGGGAAAGTCCCACCTGGGTCGCTCTGCATGATCTCACACAAGGATAAGGAAGTGATGAATGCTCTAGATGATGCTGGATTTCCAGCAACCGATGAGGAAGTTAAGCAAGAAGTGGCTGCAATGTCTCAAACTAATATATTTAGGCCTGGGATTGATGTTACCCAGGCAGTTCTTTTGCCTCAGTTGACTTGGAGGCAAAAATGGAGAAAATAAACAGGACAAGAAAGGATGGTTTGGTGGGTGGAGAAAGAAGGATTCTAAACATGATGCACAAAAAAAGATTGCTCCGCCAAGAAGTTCCCTCTGTATAGATGAGAAGGTGAGTGATCTATTGGGAGATTCTCCTTCAAGGAATCAGATTAAGCCAGGCAGACATTCTGTTGAGATAGCTGTAAGGGGTGATGAGCAACGGAGGAAGAAAGATGCCAGAGCTCCTTCTGCAAATTCTGATAGCAAGAGTCACGGAAGTCGTGAAAATGAGTATAAGAAAGGATTGAGGCCTATTCTTTGGCTTTCCCTAAACTTTCCCCTTAAAACTGAAGAACTGTTGCCATTACTTGACATTGTTGCAAACAAAGTTAAAGCAATTCGACGTTTAAGAGAACTTCTTACAACAAAACTTCCAATGGGAACCTTTCCAGTAAAGGTATGTGCTCATAATCTTTTTCAGTTTATAAATATTACTAATCTGGGTACAAAACTGGAGAAAATTCTTGTTATGTGTAAAAATAGAAGAAATGATGAAAATATTAAAAAAAGGGAAGTTGAGATGCAAAAAATATTTACTTTAGTATTCTGCATTTGATTATTTTTTATTAGCTTCTGTGGATAGTAAATCTCTAGAATTTGACAGGTATTTACTGGAAAATATTTGCTTATACCTCATCTTAAACAATATGGTTTTTATGACAGTTTTTGGTTGCCCTTCTGTTCTAGAAATGATAGCCATCACCAGGTCTACTCTGATGTTGCTTGAATTTCAATTTTGTTAGCATTGCTTAATCGTTTTGTTATATAAATGGTTTGAACCTGTTAGTTAGAAATAAATGACACAGCATTTCGGCCATGACAAGTTAATAGTTAATGGTGGTTGATGTTCAAACCTGGGGACTAGAATGTTCAAGAATAGGTGTTGCTTCTGACATGTGAGGTTACTATGTGGAAAAACCTCTGCTTGCATGATGGCACTGGTTTTTTATGGATTCATGGGTGCAACATGATTTTATTTTGAACTGAAAACCTACGGAGGCTGCCCAAATTGTTACCAGCCATTTGAGCTTAATCCCCAGAAGCAGTTTAGTGGAATTTGTTTTCCATGCTGAGAGATAGGAGAACATCACTGATTTGTTACTTTCTGGAGTCAGTCTTTTGTTTTGCTGTTACCTTTTCACTTGTAGGGTGCCTTATCCTCTCCCCGTGCATCTTTCTTTTACATCATGTGACAGCTTCTTTCATTACGAAAAAAGAAAGTGAAAAAGAAACTATTGATTCTGTTATCTTGAGTCAAATGCACCAAATAACATTCTGTTATCTTGAGTCAAATGCACCAAATAACACTAGCTGTTACTTTGCTATACTAGAGAGTGATAACAACTACTGCTGTCATCAATCTTCTTCATCTAATTTGATTTTTATGTTTTAAAATTTTCTTTTTCATTTTAGAAAAACTAGTGAACTCCCAAAGATTTGCAGAGTAAAATCCTATTTGGTTTAAATTATAAAATGTTGGGCTAGCTGTCTGATTAAGTATCTGGTTTAATGTGTGACGTAGTTTTAAAGGGGTTACTAGTGCATTATAGAGTTGAGAGTCCTATACTTTTTCTATGTCTTGGATCAGAAAACAAGTCAGAAAATAGTTGTCAAAGTCTTGGATAGAAACCTGAAATTGGCATTAACAGTCACCATGGCAGAGGATATCTTCTCTTTTTCTTGTCAATCCTGGATCCAGTTTGGTGTTTGGGAACTTGTATTCTCATTTGTTAATTAGGTTTGGCTGATTTGAATTATTGGCCTTGAACTGAAGTTGAGTTGTTGTGGATTTCATTAGAGGCGTAAATGATAGCTTTGTAATTTCAACCTGTTATCTCAAGGCCTGGTCATCCGAGAAATCCTTTGACCCACCAAAACTTCCAGCTGAAAAACTTTGGTTGGATCATATAACTCAGCTGACTAGAACATGGCTTTAGTAAGTAAATCCATGCCCCCTGCTTCACAATTCACACTAGAACTACAGCTACAATGTCTCCCCCTTTGTCTGGGAGTAACTTTAAAGGGGTGTCAAGCAACCATGTTTGTTGGACTTGGGTTGTAAACTCCAACTGTAATGCATTTTTCATTTTTGAATTTTGTTTTTCTTTTCATTCCAGTATATGTATGATAGCAACTCAACTGACTCATCACCCTTGCACATTCAGGTCGCCATCCCTGTGGTTCCCACCATCAAAGTATTGGTTACTTTCACCAAGTTTGAAGAACTACAGCCATTAGATGAATTTGCAACACCCCCATCAAGTCCTTCTGCTGCAGGCCGCGAGAGCCCTGCAGTGACACAGTTCTCAGCTTCATCTTGGTTTCAGTGGATAAAGGCTCCTTACCATCGCCCCAGCTCATCAGCCGCGGCTAGTTCAAGCAGCAGCCGGATAGAAAATATTCAAGACCCATTTGCTATTCCCTCTGACTATACTTGGATTACTGCTGAAGCGAAGAGAAAGAGGATGCAGGAGAAGAATAAATCAAAGAAAGGGAGGAATCATAGCTAATGATTTCATGAGTAACCTCTAAACCACGGAAGGTAGGCTTCCAAACGGCAAAAAGTGTTTATTCCAAAACTAAACAATTGAAGTGTGTAATATGGATAACCATTTGGGATTATTTTCCCCTGTATTTTTGGGGAGGGGAGTGGGGTTGTGGCATAGGGAAAGATATTGTGATTCTTGCTTCATTTGCTGAACATTGCAAGTTCAAACCATAGATTTGTTTACTCTTCTTTTCAATACATGTGGCAACCATTAACACAGTAGTTATAGTCTTGGTGTTCCCCCCCCCCCCCTTTTTCCCAAAGCTATTTTGATATTTTTCCTTTAATATTTTTATGTAAATAAACTGAAAGTCGGCTCTGGGCTCTTTGTATCGGAATACTTTGCCTAACCTAGATACTAAAATCTATGGTACTACTTCGTTTGAAATTAACCGTTGTCTCCCTAATTTGACCTTAGTGCGCAACTCGTCTGGATGCTCGTGATGTGTGGATAAAGGGGTTGGTTAGACTATGCAGAGCCGAAACAAGTGGGAAGTGTTATGGTTTCCGTCCAAATCTGTACGGATAAATCTTATGCATGAGTCTTAATTATTAATTAATTTATAAAAAAAATTACTCGTTATAGATTTCTGGAAGAAAAAAAAACTGATCGGCCCTTAATATAAGGCCTATTTAACTAATTTGATTAGATTAAAGAAATTAGGTAAGTTAGTTAATTATAAAAAATATGACATGTTTTTCCTAAAACACCATAATTATCTTTCTTATATCCTTTCTCCCCTTCTACTTGATTATGGTTGAGGGATTATTTATAGGGATAATTTAGGAAAAAAAAATAAATATAAGAAATAAATCTTATATTTGGAACCAAAATCAACTCAACAATTAGGTCTTATATTAAAAACAGGAGGAGTAATTTTTTTTTTAAATTCAGAGGTTTGATAAAAATAAAAAATTATTCACTTTACAATGTCTATGTACTCCATCCAATCTACAATATAAGTTGTTTCTAGATAAATAGCTTAGTCCACTCCAAAATATAAGTTACTTAAAGAGTAACAAATGCATATTTATCAATTTTATCCCTGTAATTAATGTTTAAATTTTAACTCATTGTATTTTTCTCTTTTCTTTACAACCTCATTTAATATAATTAAAGTTAGAAAAAAAATTTTCAGTTTGAAACACAGAATTAACTACCATTTTTTTGATATTGATGAATTGATTAAAATTAGTTGTATTATGAACATGAAGAAGGATATTATATATAACTATTTATTTTTTTTTATGCATGTATTTAAATTTTGAAGTGAGTCTGTGAGTCTTATTATCATTTGTTAAAAATTTTATACTCTTTCGATCCTTAATATAAGATCCATTTAACTAATTTGATTAGATTAAAGAAGTTAAGTAAGTTAGTTAATTATAATAAATGTGACACATTTTTCCTAAAACACCATAATTATCTTTCTTAATACCCCCTCCCCATATTCTACTTGATTATGGTTGAGGGAGTATTCATAGCGATAATTTAGGAAAAATTTATAAATATGAGAAAAATGTCTTATATTTAGAATCAAAATTAATTCAACAATTAGGTCCTATATTAAGTAACGCAGGAGTATTCTTTTAGTAAAAAATTGTATATCTAACCACATCAACTTTGCCAATGGTCATCCCCAGAGAAATCTGTGCATCCCTCTCGCCAAACTGAGCTTTGACTAGAGAAATGTGCTGGAGGAGAATTGATCTTCAGTTCTTCGACCGAAAAAAGAATTGGCCTTCAGTTGGATGCTGCGCGCACATTTTACGCGCCATAATATAAACCCTATTTACAGGAATCCAACTAACAAATGGATTAAAGACATTGCAACTTACGTTGGCGCTCCCTGTCTTCTCCTCCCGCAAGATAGACAGATAAGAAAATTTTCCTTAAGAATTCAAGCCTTAATTTCTATGGCTTAATTTGAACGTACCGGTGATTTCTCTTGGCATCTCTGAGAAACTCGTATTATTGGTCTGTGATAATCATTTCTATTTTTTTTGTATTATTTTTATCATAGTTTTTGCTATTTCAATAATCAAATCCTGCCTCCCCACATATTCCCATTACCGAATCGTGTTTCTTGCAGCAATTAACCAGACCGCCTGGAGGTTCTTGGGTTTGTTTGATCCGTGCTCAGAGCGCTCTGTTTTTTAACCTTCTTTTGCCATTTTTCGCTTCCTACCTTGGGGTTCATAAGAAGGGTTAATAAAGGCGTTGAGCAGCCCAGTTTAATTGCAATATTGGACTCCCTTTTTTGTTTTTGGGTTTTTCTTTTGTGGGGAGGCGTTCGCAGACACAGTGGAAGCACAAACAGAATCAATAAACAAACCTTCACCAAGAAAAAAGAATAAATAGAGAAACGTGACTATTTTTACAGCTTACCTCGTTCGTTGACTAGAGTTAAAGCCAGAACTCTTTTCTTTCTGTTTCTAAATTTATATTTGCAGCTCCATCTATTTGATTGTGATTTCAAATGAGCTAATTCCATTTATATTCACATGATTTGCATTATTGAGAAGACAATGGCCAACGGATTAGTTTCGTTTGTTGATTTCTCTGATTTGACCGTACGTAGCCTCTCGAGTTTGATGATTGAATCATTTGCCCTTGTGACTGTTAATTAGTGTGGGTTGGAGTCTTCTGCATCTTCTTTTTTCGGTGAGGAGTCTTCCGCATTTGATGAATGGCCGAAATTGATGTTTCAAAGTATGCTTATAGTCCTGTGCACAAGGCCGTAGTGCTGAAGGACTATGCTGGTCTCAAAGAGATACTAGCACGTCTCCCACGACTTGGAAACCCATATGACATTCACACTGAGGCAGAGTCAATAGCTGAGGAAGAGAAGGCTGAGGCTATCTCTGCCGTGGTTGATTACCGTGATGTTCCGAATCGCGATACTCCTCTTCATTTGGCTGCTAAACTTGGCGATGAAGTAGCCACTGAAATGCTCCTTGTTGCTGGGGCAGAAAAAAATTTGAAGAACAAACAAGGGTGGAGTGCTCTTTCAGAAGCTATCCTCAATAACCAAGAGAAAGTTGGCTTGCTTATGGTTCGGCATTCTTGGAATCATTTAGATGAAAAATGGCATAGGAGGGTGCCTCGCTATATAGCAGCCATGCAAAGGATGAGAGATTTCTACATGGAGATTACGTTTCATTTTGAGAGTTCTGTAATTCCTTTCATCTCAAGGATTGCCCCTTCAGATACCTACAAAATTTGGAAAAGAGGTGGTAATATGAGGGCAGACATGACTTTGGCTGGTTTTGACGGTTTAAAAATTAAGAGGTCAGATCAGAGCATGATTTTCTTTGGTGATGGTTTAGAAGATCGGAAGATGCCGCCTGGGTCACTCTGTTTCATGTCACACAAGGATAAGAAAATCCTTACGTTTTCATCTCCTGCGACTAAACCAACTGGTAGACAGGTAAGGAAAAAATTTAAGAAAAAATCTGAGGATTCGATAGTAAATGTGGGAATTGACATGAGTCAAGCATTTCTGGTTCCCCAATTGACATGGAGACGAAAAGAGAGAAAGGAAATTGTGGGACCATGGAAAGCTAAGGTGTATGATATGCACAATGTGAATCTAAGCGTCAAATCTGTAAAGGGCCCGAGAGCTAAGAAAGATGATAAGGCCTCTAGCATTAGAAATAAAAATGAGAGTAAGGATATTCAAGATATGTTGACAGAGGAAGAAAGAAAGCAACTGGAATCTGCACTTGCCCAAAATGTGGATTCATTGGAATCAAATAATGAAGATAGGCTTAATCAAAAAGAAGAAGAAAAGAAAGAGAAAAAAGGACATGGCCGGAAAGAAAAGGGGACCAAGAAGGGAAAACATATCAAAGCACCTTCAATGGATTCTGGTAGCAGCAGTTTTGACAAGGAAGGAAGTAGCGAGAGTGAGTATAAACGCGGAATGAGACCTAGCCTTTGGCTTTCGCCAAATTTTCCACTAAAAGTTGAAGAGCTGTTGCCATTGCTGAACATTCTTGCAGATAAAGTTAAAGCAGTTCGTCGGTTAAGAGAACTTCTCACGACAAAATTTCCAAAGGATACCTTTCCTGTGAAGGTGATGTTCGCTTTTTTATCTTATCTTTGGTTTAAGATTCTAGCTGCAAATCTAGTATTATTTCCTGTTAAGAAAATATATTATTCATAGTTTGTTATGGTCGGATTATGGGAAGAGATCATTCTTTTCCACTTCTTTGAAAGGGGACATGCCTCTGAAAAAGAAAGGTTCTTGTTCTTAATTGAAAAATGGCACGGGCAAGTCCTCAAATGTGCGCTGTGAGTTTGATGCACATTAAGTCAGAATCAATTAGTGCTTATATAGTTCCTTTAAGGTCTTAACTATCTTATCCGTTCAAATCACCCTTTACCAATTCACAACAATGGGTAGCTAGTGTGGGCAAATATAATTTAGCAGAAAAGGATTTCTAATTTTGGCGGCTTTGATGGACTAGAGAGCATGTAAGTTGTATACTCCCACCCACCTTTAAAGATATGGATTTTACTTCTCTTGTGGTGCAAAATAAAGCATAGCGCTAATGAACTCACCGGGTAGCTAGTGTGGGCAAAATAATCAATTAGTGCTTATATAGTCTTTGCTTCTCTTTATGGTCCAAAAGAAATTATTATGACATCCTCAAATCTAGTTTATTTCATGGTTTCTGGGAGAAGTATGGTATGAAGTAATTTTTTCTTTCTCTTTACTAGTATATTATAGTATAGGAAAGCTGAGAGGGCCTCGTTATACCTTAGTTTTGCTTTTGCTTATTCGTTCCGCTGTTAAAGAGTGAATGATCAGGAAATATGAATGAATAATAATGGGTCATGTAAGATATGCACGCTGTTAAAACTCTAGGAAACACTGACAACTTGAAGAACAAAGAACGCTGGTTGTATAGATATCATGTAACTGGTTGCATGGCTCGAATAAGAGTGCTCATCTGCACTAACATGTACCATATAAGAAAAAAAAGCAGCCACTGACGCTTTGTTTCTTGTCGTTATTAATCATGGTTCCATTATCTTTGCTCAACTTTGTTTTCACCTTTGTTTTCGATGAATGCATGACTATAAATCTATTTCATTGCCTTCGGCATTCAGGTTGCAATCCCTGTGATTCCTACTGTTAGAGTATTGGTTTCCTTTACGAAGTTTGAGGAATTACCGCCACTGGAAGAGTTCTCATCGGCCCCTACAAGTCCAACTTCCGCAGACGATGAAAACCCTGAAGAACAACCCCAATCTTCTTCTTGGTTTCAGTGGGTAAAGGCCAACCCTAGTTCGTCCGCCGATTCCAATGGTGAAATTCAAGACCTTTTTGCTATTCCCTCCGATTATACCTGGACTACTCTAGATGCGGAAAAAAGTAAAAAGACCGAAAAGTCATAATTATTGAGGTTGTTGAATCGTTGAGCAGGCTCCAGCTTCCAAGTGCTGTATATGATCGCGGTGAGTCATAAGTTTTGGTTATGTAAGAAGCAGGAATTAGTTGCAGAAAATAATCTGTCTAGTTTTAGTATGGTTTTACTTTTACACAAACACAGAGGATGGTAGCTAGTATTGTCAGGTCAAGTCTGAGCATATTCAAACCCGAAACCTTGTGCTTGCAAGTAGCCATAACTTTTTATTCATTGTGCAGTTTTACAAGTTAGCGACACATTTGCACGCGCACTAAATACCCACACGCATAGACGGATGTTATGGATTTTGCTTCTGTGTGGTAGGTCTAAACTCTGAAATGCAATTTTTATTGTACCAAACCCGACAAGAATGAGATTATGGAATTTCAAATACACATGGTTTGTTCGTGTTCATTCAATCAATTGTTAAGCAAATTGACCTGATTATGGTAGATTTGTCTGCATTGCTGTTTTATTATGATTCCCCCCCCCCCCAAAAAAAGTACACGTGATCGATGCAGTGCAGTTGCAACTAGTGGGGTTTCATGGAAGTATGAGTAAAAAGTATTATAAATATTACGACTTATTAAAATTCTTATATTTTATAGGAAAAATTGGTAAAAAAAATCCCTGTTTGAAAATTTAATTGGCCAAAAGGACATGAAATTGTGCAATTATAAGTATGATCCGTAAGTGTAACATCTCATCTATAATTTGCACTTGCACAATTTCAGGTCCTTCTGGCCAATTAAACTCTTAAACAGGGATTTTTTTTTACCAATTTTTCCTATTTTATATGTTTATGATTCAATACAAGTATTTATTATACTACTTTTTGGTTATCAATATAAGAGCTAATTGACTAATTTGAGTAGATTAAGGAAACTAGTTCAGTTAGTTATTTATAATATATAGATATTGTCTTTTCTAAAATATCTTTACTAATTAAGTGTATTATTGGTTAGAACTATCATTATGACAAGAATTATTTAAAAAAAATAAATAAATATGAAAAATAAAGTGAATTGAGATTTTATATTTTTTACTAAAATAAAATTTAAATGATATTAAATACAGGAACTAGCATTTATTTAGTTCAAGCTTCTTAGAGAAATAATCAGGGAAACCAACACCATACAGCTACATTGCAAAATGAAAAGTAAAATGGCCCAGCTAGGACTTCAGTCTGGAGTCCGCGTCGGTTACACGAGAATGTTAATTGGAATAATTTCATTTTAATCACAGAATATAAGATATTTAAATATTTTACTATTTTTTTAAAAAAATTTTAATTATCGCACGGGCTTTGCATCAATCTATACACGCATTTATGGAAGCGAGTTCTTTCGAATTTTCTAAATGGCAAACCACAATACATTCATCAAACCATTCAAATTAGCTGATCATTATCACTAATCTTAAAACGCTATGTAAAGCTATCCCATAGTTGACTTTTAACTCAATATTCTATGACTATATCCTGTCCTTCATATAAGATCTCATTTGATTTTTATTTTGGTTCCAAATATAAAACCTTAATCCACTTTGTCTCTCATATTTATCTTTTTTTTTTCAAAATAATCCTTCTAATAATGTTAGTTTTAACCAATAAACTTGATTAGTAAGAATAATTTAAAAAAAAAACCTATTTATTACAAATAAATAACTTAATTTATTGCTTTAATCTACTCAAATTAGTCAACTAACTCTTATATTTAGAATTGGAGGTAGTATTATATTAAGAGGACTTAAGCTAATTATAACTTTTTGTCCTATTTATAAAAAAATACATTATAATTATAAAATTTATTTCTTATAAATAAATGAGTTTGAAAGTAGTCTTATTTATATCTCACGTTGTCTTTTCTTTTTTTTGGGGTATACTAGGTTGTCTTATTATCTGAGTCAAATTCAAGGGGTGAATAAAAATAACATATTATTTATTTAGTTTTCAATAATACTTTTAATTTCAATTGATATAGAAGCCTATATGTATATAATCGGATATAAGTATATTACTCCGGTCCTTAATATAAGGCCTATTTAACTAATTTGATTAGATTAAGAAAGTTAAGTAAGTTAGTTAATTATAAAAAATATGATATGTTTTTCTTAAAACACTATAATCATTTTTCTTAATATCCTCCATCCCCCACTTATTTGATTATATTTGAGGGAGTATCCACATGAGTAATTTTTAAAAAAAAATGATAAATATAAGAAATAGGTCTTATATTTAAGACCAAAATTAATTTAACAATTAAGTTCTATATTAAGGACTAGAGGAGTATTTTAAAAGAAGGCTAAGAGTTAAGTTTTCCCATTAAGAATCATCATTCATCAGTATAGTCATTATCATCATGAAATATAAAAATTTTAACAAATTGCACCAAGAGAAACCTGTTTCAAAACTAAAATTAAATTTGATTACAATGAAGGATTACGGGTCACAAATAGAATCCGTCCCTAGTTTTACTCTTTGGTTTATTTCAATCAACTTTTTTTTTTTTACCAGCTATTTAAATCAAGCTTGATCATAGGAATTGGGTGGTTGAAAATGGACTTCCAATAAAGATGAAGCGGATGATAGGTGCGCGCCATGAGCCCATAGCATAAGCCTCATTTGCGCTGCCAGATGAGAAGGATTTGTCACTCACATTAGAATTCCATCTCTTTTCCTTTCCGGCAAGGCGGAACAAAATTGGAAAATTTTCCTGGAAAGTAGTGCCTTAATTTTTGTGGCTTAATTTGAGGGGAAAATTTGCGGATTTCTCTTTGCCACTCCACGAATATTCTCCGGAACAATTCTAATTTTTGCTAGTTTCGTCATCAAATCCCGCCTTACAACACTTTCTCCATTCTTTTCCCCATCACTGAATTGTGCTTTAAGCAACTATTAAACATACCGCATGCACGTTCTTGGGTTTTTTTAACCTGCGTTCAGAAGGTTGTATTTTCTATTTCCTACTTTCTGACAAGGCAGAGGTCGGTTTCATAAAAGCGTTGAGTTTCAAAGTTTATCTACAATCTTAGAACATAGGAAGGTCACAAAGGAAGCAGAAACTTAATAGGTAAAGAAGCGCTCTTTCATTGCTTTAATATTTAGAGCTCAACCGGAATGTTTTCCTCTCTGTCTAGTTTGCAGGTTGGTTGTGATTGAAATGAGTCAATGTCATTCATAATTTACGTTATTTACGATCTCTAAAGCATGATTGCTAATGGGGTTTGCTCGATTTGTTGCTTTCCTCTGATTTGACGATACTTAGCAAGATTTAGATTGTGATGATCGGATTCATTTGCTCTTATGATTATTGATTGATGAATGTTGGATTCTTCTAGTCTTGTAAAATGGCGGACATTGATGTTTCGAAATATGCTCATAGTCCTGTGCACAAGGCACTATTGTTGAAGGATTATTCTGGGCTTAAAGAGATATTGGCGGGTCTCCCACAGCGTAGGAACGCATATGTGATCGAGACTGAGACGGAGTCAATAGCTGAGGAAAAGAAGGCTGAGGCTATCTCTGCTATAGTTGATTGCCGTGATGTTCCAAATCGGGACACTCCACTTCATTTGGCCGCAAAGCTTGGCGATAAGAAGGCCGCCGAAATGCTTCTGGTTGCTGGGGCAAATAAAAACTTGAAGAACAAACAAGGATGGAGCGCTCTTACAGAAGCAATCATCAATAAACAAGAGGAAATTGGTCTGCTTATGATTCGGTTTTCGTATTATCATTTTGATGAAAAATTCTATAGAAGATTGCCTCGCTATATGGCAACCATGAGAAGGATGAGAGATTTCTACATGGAGATTACGTTTCATTTTGAGAGTTCCGTAATTCCTTTCATCTCAAAAATTGCCCCTTCTGACACTTTCAAAATCTGGAAAAGAGGTGCTAATATGAGAGCAGATATGACTTTGGCTGGTTTCGACGGTTTAAAAATAAAGAGGGCAGATCAAAGCGCTCTTTTCCTTGGTGATGGCTCAGAAGATGGGAAGAAACTGCCTGGACTACCATTCTGTATCATAGCACACAAGCATAAGAAGGTATATTTGAGCGATGTAGTCCCCGGTGCTACACCATCCGATCAGGCGATACAACAAATTTACAATAGAAAGTCTCAGGAACGAGAATCAAAACCAAAGATCAGGATTGATACGACTGAAGCATTTCTTGCTCCCCAATTGACATGGAGAAAAAAGAAGAGAAAGGAAATGGTGGGGCCATGGAAAACTAAGGTGTACGATATGCGCAATGTGCATGTAAGCATCCAATCCAAAAAGGCCCCTGGAGGTAAAACGAATGATAAGTCGTCTGCCAGTGAAAACCAAAATTGAGTAATTATATTAATGAAAATTTGACTGAGGAAGAAAGAAAGCAACTGGAACATGCACTTAAACAAGACATGGATTCATTGCAATTGAATACTGAGGATGAGTCTGATGAGAGAAAAACAGAAAAGAAAGAAAAGAAGGAACGAGGACGGAAAGGAAAGGAGAATAAGAAAGGAAGACACATAAAAGCACCTTCTGAGGATTCTGATAGCAGCAGTTTTGACAAGGAAGGAAGTAGTGAGAGTGGGTTTAAGCTAGGAATGAGGCCTAGTTTGTGGTTTTCACCAGACTTTCCTCTGAAGGTTGAAGAATTGTTGCCATTGCTTGACATTCTTGCAGACAAAGTTAAAGCAATTCGCCGTTTAAGAGAGATTCTTACAACAAAACTACCAAAGGATACCTTTCCAGTCAAGGTCTGTGCCCTGTGTATCTTCGGCTCACAGAAAATCTTAGTATTTTCATATTACTTCATCAGAAATTGGAATTTTAATAAGAATGAGGTCACTGATTAATTTGTTTCCATCTTGTATTCCTTGATGCGCTACCATAACGAACTAGGGTTGATTGTTTTTCTCTTCATAATAGAGAAAATTAATGTCCATAATTTGCTTAATTATAGCTAGATGTCATGCTTGTTTTGCCTTGAAAGAGAGACCGTTTCTGTAAAGGGTGGATTTCTGTTTTCAAAGAAAAGCACAGGAAGACCTGAAAAGTGAGTTATGGCTTTGATGCTCAAATTCAACTTGAAGTTTATCGCTTAAAGCTTGTTGCGTCTAAATGGCATCTACTGAACATTACTTACTTGTTCATATGTTTCAAATGTAAAAAAGATTAAGAATGACCTGTTATATGGTAGTTATTGATCATTTGCTTGTCAAGAATGTCAACTTGTGAAATTTTTGTTTTAAGTGATTGAATTTCTTATGACCCATCCAACACATGCGCATGCGCGCGCACAAAACATTTATGTTTTTTTAATGTGTCTGCTTGTGTCTGTAATTTATTATATACTCTCTGTAAAGGCTTATTGAAATGCTGTTCCTCCAACTCCATCCATGCAAGTGTAAAATCTTGTGTATTAAGCAAAACGATTTGATGAAATTGTCCATCTATTATCTGCATTGGACCTTTGGATATGAGCCTTTGGTATTTTTGTTTTATACAATATGTGATATTCAGTATTACCGAGTCAAATTCAAATGTTATCCAACCCAATTAAAGGAAATTCTCCCACGTGATTAGAGACATTGATATTTTCTTTCTTGTTGTTTTCACTCTTGATTATGTTCGCTGGTTCAATTGTCTTTGTTCAACCTTGTTTCTTATTTTCGTTTTGGATGAATGTGTGACCATTTGACTACCTTTGTCAGGTATCAATCCCTGTGATTCCTACTGTTAGAGTATTTATTTCCTTCCCAAAGTTTGAAGAATTACCGCCGTTGGAAGAGTTCTCATCAGCCCCTTCAAGTCCAACTTCTGAAGATCTAGAGGACCCAGCAGAACAATCCTCATCTTCTTCTTGGTTTCAATGGATAAAGGGGCACCCTAGTTCATCTTCTGCCGATCCTAATAGTAAACTTCAAGACATTTTTGTTATTCCCTCTGATTATACTTTTATTTCTTGCCAGCCCACAAACCAGCAAGGACAAGAAAAATAAGACAGAAAGATCCCATAACTAATAAGGTATTTGAATCTTCCAAGCCCTGTATGATACTTGAGAGAGCGAACAGCAGATTCTAATCAAGAATATCATTACACTGAACTTATGAATCATGTAAGGGGGAACTGAATTTTGATGCTATATATTATTTTCACACCGTCCATTAGGATTGTAGAACACAAGGAAAGTATATGATATGATTCTCTTGCTATGATCTTTTGTGTAGCCATGCTTTTTATCGCGGCATTGGAAGTTCCTCTTTCTGTTATTGACATCAAGAAGGATGACAAGCAGTGGCTGTTTAGATAGAAATGAAATTGACTCTCTGAAAGTTCGTAGCATCCAAACAATAAAAAACAGGATAGCATGCAATATGAAATGAAGCTTTATTTTATAAGACGCTGGTTGTTTAGATATTTTATCGCAAATATAAGCGCTCTTTCATGTTTAATTTTTTTTAAAAAAAAAACTCGACATCATAAATAAGTTGATACATGATCATGAAATCTTTCCGACAAACAGTTTCATATCATTAATATGGAAAAATTGAAAAATTAAATAAGCCCAGGTCCGGCTGAATTGTGGTATACGGTGGTAAAATCGAACTAAGCAAAGATACATCCGGCCTTTTAAGAAGCCATACTGCGGAGAACAACAGTCTCAACAGTGAGCCCAGGCCCAAACCCAAACAAGACTCCCCAGTCAAGGCCCTCGCCAGTAGTCTTGAGCCCATCTTCCGCGGACTTCCTCCTCATCTCGTCCAGAATGAACAACACGCACGCGCTCGACATGTTCCCATACTCACTCAGCACGTGCCTCGTCGCCCTCATCTTCTCCGGCTTCAAGCTCAGCTTGGCCTCCACCTGGTCAAGAATCGCGGGCCCACCTGGGTGAGCGATCCAGAAGATGGAGTTGTAGTCAGAGATCCCCAGTGGCTGGAAAGCCTCCACCAAGGCCTTCTCGATGTTCTTGGAGATCAGTCCCGGAACGTCCTTGAGAAGATGGAAGGTGAGCCCCACCTCGCGCAGATGTCCGTCAATGGCTCCTTCACTGTCTGGTAAAATGGTCTGAGCGGTCCACACCATCTCAAACAGAGGCTTCTCCACGGGGAGCGGGTCAGAGCCGACAATGACGGCGGCCGCACCGTCTCCGAAGAGGGCCTGCCCAACAAGGCTGTCCAGGTGGGTGTCGCTGGGGCCGCGGAAGGTGACGGCGGTGATCTCGGAGCAGACGACGAGGACACGAGCTCCCTTGTTGTTTTCGGCCAGGTCCTTGGCGAGACGGAGGACCGTGCCTCCGGCGAAGCAGCCCTGCTGGTACATCATGTAACGCTTGACGGAGGGGCGGAGGCCGAGGAGCTTGGTGAGCTGGTAGTCGGCGCCGGGCATGTCGACGCCGCTGGTGGTGCAGAAGATGAGGTGAGTGATCTTAGACTTGGGCTGGCCCCACTCCTTGATGGCTCTGGTGGCGGCCTCTTTGCCCAGCTTGGGGACTTCCACGACCACCATGTCCTGCCTGGCATCCAAAGAAGGCGCCATGTACTCGCATATGTTTGGGTTCTCCTTCAAGATTTCCTCCGTCAGGTGCATGTACCTCTTCCTGATCATTGACTTTTCGCCTGAAATTGGGTTGCAATGACATGTTAGTTCAATCATACATATCAAATATTCAGACAAAATTTGATCTATATGGATCTGTTTCGTGAAATCAACAGTTTCGCTTCATAAATTATTACATTTTCTTGAGAGTCTGGGTTCTATTTCCATCAAGCATTCAACGACTTTCGTCTCATCGAGCAAAACTTGGGGTCAAACATTCCGGGTTAGGATTCGATTCTTTTATCTCGATCGGAAACCACTTCTTTTTCTTAATTGTTATTAATTAGTCAATACTCGCGCTTGTTTTATGGGACTTTTTAATATCAATAAAATAAAACCAAATGAAAAAGGAGACATCTATGATTGTACGAAAAGCCTTCTGCGCAAGAGGGGCAGCCATATATGTCTCATAATAAAAAAAATACTACTTCCGATCCTAATTATAAGAGTCAGTTGACTAATTTGAGAAAATTAAAGAAATAAGTTAGTTAGTTATTTGTCTTAAATAGGTGTTATCTTTCCTAAAATATCCTTATAATCAAGTATATTAACTAGAATTCTTATTATTAGAAGGAACTACTTTGAAAAAAAAATATAAATATGAGAGATAAAGTGGATTGGGGTCTTATATTTAATACCAAAATAAAAATCAAATAGAGTCTTATATTAAAGATCGGAAGTAGTATATAGCGTGGTTGAAACAGTCTTGTCTTTCTGCTTCAATTTAACAAGTCAACTCCCCTTAATGAACTTTGAGGAGTTAAACAAGGGTAAAACCATGCATACGCCTTTTATAACAGAAACTACCACTCACAAAAAGAGAAGGATCAACGAAGAAAAGAAAACAAGGATCGAGATTAAAGAGACATACACATGCGCTTGAACTTCTCTTTGAGCTCAGTCTTGTGCTCGCTGTTGGTGATTCTGAAGTAGTAATCAGGGTAGGTGCTCTGATCCACGCAGTTGGGTGGAGTGGCCGTTCCTATGGCCATCACGGTGGCCGGCCCCTCTGCCCTCTGAGCCTTTCGGATCTCATCAACGCTCACCATTGTGTTTCAATTCGCTCTCAGATAAGGAAGCAAAGAAATAGGTAGGTGGCTAAGCTAGTGAGTGTTGGGAGATAGAGAGATGGGGAAGGAGAAGAGAAGAGGGTTATATTTATAGGTAAGGGAAGGAAGGAAGGAGGGAGGAGAGATGGTAGTTGAACATTCACCTGCGTGGCAGTTTGGTGAGAAAATACCGGCCTTACTTTATAGACTCTGTTCTTCCACTTACCAAACTGCTATTGCGCGCGCCCACCTACTCAGTCCTCAATCTTATTATTCATCAACCCCTTCAATTTTTGATTGCCCTCATGTGTCCTGTTATGGAAAATAATCACATTGAAAATATGGCCTCACAATTAAAACTTTTTGATTCGTCGTGTTGTTACGAGAGATTAATATCTTCCATGAAACTTATTTTGTCTGGTCTTGGTCCAATAAAAATAATATATTTATATGAAATTAACAAAAGGGTCTTTATAACTTTTTTTCATATAAGTATGTTTATCTCGTTGACTTTACCCTTTTCATCCAACGACTAGAGTTGTTGTCCGTTCAGTCATGTCTCTTTATACTATTTTTTATTCTAATTATAAGACCTAGTTGACTGATTTAAGGAGATTAAAAAGTAAGTTAAATTATAGGTGTTGTCTTTCCTAAAATATCCTTACTAATCAATTATATTAGTTAGAACTATCATTATTAAAAGGACTGTCTTGAAAAAAATGCATAAATATATAAGAGACAAAATAAATTGGGATTTTATATTTAGGATCAAAATAAAAGTCAAATAGGATTCTTATATTAAGGACTAAAGGTAATAATACTTTATTATTATTGCTTAGTTGCGTATTGATTTGTTTTCAGTAATGTTTTCTTCAATACTTGATATATGTGTGTATCTGTGTGTGCGTGTCAAAGTTTGTTCTATATATTCATCTTTCTTTTTCTATTATATCCGTTAAAGGACAAAAGATAATTTTGAGGGAAAAAATATTAAATTTTAAAGTTAAAAGTAGTGTTCGATTTAGTAGTAATTTTAAATTATATGAAATAAATACTTCTCTCTCAGGAAATATGAAATATTTTTTATTTTATGAACACATTGGATGACGTATATATATAAATCGTAATTGCGAATAAAGATTGTGGGTCAATAGTGATACAATGAAAATAGTCAAAGGAAGATTAGAGCATGATAAGACAAGAATAATAAATAAATATATAATGGCCATTTCAGCTTTAATTTTGGACCAATGAAAGAAGAGGAAGAGTTAGATGGAGCGAATAAAGGCAACTACCCACTCTTGATGTTGCTCGGCCTTCCCTGAAACATCGCTTCCTTTCTCGTAACAACCTAAGTAAATAAATTTATCCCTCTGTGCTTACCAAAGTTATGTCTTCTTAGACGCATGTGCATGATATATGAACACGTTGAATATGCATCGATTATCGAATTGAATATATTTGTTGGTGCTCACTCGCTAAAAAAAATAACTGCTACTTCCGTTCCTTAATATAAAATCCTGTTTGACTTTTATTTTGATCCTAAATATAAAACCTCAATCCATTTTATCTCTTATATTTATATTTTTTTTTCAAAATAACCCTTCTAACAATAATAGTTTTAGTCAATACACTTTATTAACAAGGATATTTTAAAAAAAGACAACACCTATTTAAACAAATAACTAATTAATTTACTTCCTTAATCACCTCAAACTAGTCAATTGACCATTATAATTAGACCAGGACCGGAGGTAGTGTTATTTAATTGAAGGGCCTCATGCTGCGAAGTCTGGCCACGACGCCACGTTATTGGATGCCACAAAGCCTGACTTCGGGAATCAAAGCTGGTAACGTGTTAGTCAGGAAATTGATTATTTACTGAAATACCACCATGATTTTAAATACAAGAATTAGATAGGTTTTTAAAATATTAAAAAATTAGTTAAGTCAGTTATTTGTTATAAATGTGTGTTGATCTTTCTAAAATTATCCTCTTCAATCATCAATATTGGATGATTAAATTATTTCTTGATAAGAACCTTTTGGTAATTCACAGGGATATTTTCAGAAAATATTAGAGATAAAGTGAATTAAGGTCTTATATTTAATTAGAATCCAATTCAACGCCAACTACCTACTTATTAAGAACCGAATAGTACTCAGCACATCATCAATTCTTTTTAGCGTTTTGGTCCTAGCTTATAGAGAGAAAGTGTGCGTTTGATGATAATTAGGGTAAATGAATAGAGTGGTTTTTTCCTCTGCTTTTTTTTTTTTGGTCGGGGAACTACATTCAAGTTTCAGGAAATAAATTTAATTACCTTAAAATACATCAACAAATGACGAGTAAGCAATGACAAATTTTAATATAGAAAAGACAATATGTTTAGGTTAGTCACTCCTCGTTGACACTTTATGGTAATTAAATTTTTTTCCTGGAATCTCTTGGTAATTCTCTCTTTTCTATCTTTGGGTCTGAAACAGTACGGTAGTTTAAATAAATAGATCCCAAAAAAAAAAAACAAAGGAAAAATTTCTCTGGCCGCACTTGTTTACCAAGATAGTAATTTCAATGTGACCAGTTGGTAAGGCTTTGAATCAAGCAAGTGAGAGTAAAACTCACGTCAAATGCATATATTTTCCCACTTTAGTAATTAAATTGAAAGTTAAGAATACTTTTTTGGAGAAAAAGGTTGGTCAAGAAACAGAATGATATCAACAAAATCTCTTGTAATAGTTTACTAGCTGCTTCTTCCTCACATCGATTTTATGAATCTCCATTAATAAGATTTTCAATAAAAATAAATAAATGTACCATAAAGAAGATTTACAAGATTCCCAAAGGGTTCAAGTGCTTCCTAAAAGAAGTACACAAGGTTCATGGAAGCTGGTATTTGGGAAAACAGGCCTTGCGACTTGGTAAGTGGTATAGAAAACTACATGTTATTCTGATTGTTTGTTAATTTAACATTGCAATTTACAAGTGCCACATGAAGTTTTGGAAAAGCACTCTTATATGAAGGAACTAACAAAGAATACTTTTTTTCTCGAAACATAAGGAAACAAGTGGAAGGAACACGTATATATAGATAAATGGAAGACCTAAAACTGGGAGGCTCTTATGCTGCCACACTGCGAAGAACAACAGTCTCAACAGTGAGCCCAGGCCCAAACCCAAACAAGACTCCCCAGTCAAGGCCCTCGCCAGTAGTCTTGAGCCCATCTTCCGCGGACTTCCTCCTCATCTCGTCCAGAATGAACAACACGCACGCGCTCGACATGTTCCCGTACTCACTCAGCACGTGCCTCGTCGCCCTCATCTTCTCCGGCTTCAAGCTCAGCTTGGCCTCCACCTGGTCAAGAATCGCGGGCCCACCTGGGTGAGCGATCCAGAAGATGGAGTTGTAGTCAGAGATCCCCAGTGGCTGGAAAGCCTCCACCAAGGCCTTCTCGATGTTCTTGGAGATCAGTCCCGGAACGTCCTTGAGAAGATGGAAGGTGAGCCCCACCTCGCGCAGATGTCCGTCAATGGCTCCTTCACTGTCTGGCAAAATGGTCTGAGCCGTCCACACCAGTTCAAACAGAGGCTTCTCCACGGGGAGCGGGTCAGAGCCGACAATGACGGCTGCCGCACCGTCTCCGAAGAGGGCCTGCCCAACAAGGCTGTCCAGGTGGGTGTCGCTGGGGCCGCGGAAGGTGACGGCGGTGATCTCGGAGCAGACGACGAGGACGCGAGCTCCCTTGTTGTTTTCGGCCAGGTCCTTGGCGAGACGGAGGACCGTGCCTCCGGCGAAGCAACCCTGCTGGTACATCATGTAACGCTTGACGGAGGGGCGGAGGCCGAGGAGCTTGGTGAGCTGGTAGTCGGCGCCGGGCATGTCGACGCCGCTGGTGGTGCAGAAGATGAGGTGAGTGATCTTAGACTTGGGCTGGCCCCACTCCTTGATGGCTCTGGTGGCGGCCTCTTTGCCCAGCTTGGGGACTTCCACGACCACCATGTCCTGCCTGGCATCCAAAGAAGGCGCCATGTACTCGCATATGTTTGGGTTCTCCTTCAAGATTTCCTCCGTCAGGTGCATGTACCTCTTCTTGATCATTGACTTTTCGCCTGAAATTCCGTAACGTCAGCTATTAGTTCCAGATCTGAATCAATAACTGGGATTGTATATATTTTGTGGTGTTTGACTTAAATTATTATATATATATATATATATATATATTGTCATCTAAGCATTCAGCAAACTTTAATTCGAAAGCTTAGCTTCGTAGATAACTCTGCCAAACATAAGTTTTAGGATATACTTAATTGATTCGAGTAACTTTTTCATCGTCCTGCGAAGAAAGCAATAATAATATAGTTGCTGCTATGCTCAGCATTCTTGCATGTCATTTATTTGGATTTAACTACTAGCTTCCTTTTCGGTTTATACTCCATTCCCATATTGTTTGTGCCTGTTTCTTTTAGCGAAACAAGATAGCCAGAGAAATAATGTGCTAAAAACACAAAGGAAGTCATATGTTAAAAGAGAAGATACACACGCATTCCATATATATGTAAAATGAAAAGAGAGAGACAGAGACATACACATGCGCTTGAATTTCTCTTTGAGCTCAGTCTTGTGCTCGCTCTTAGTGATTCTGAAGTAGTAATCAGGGTAGGTACTCTGATCCACACAGTTGGGTGGGGTGGCCGTTCCTATGGCCATAACGGTGGCCGGACCTTCAGCCCTTTGAGCCTTTCTGATCTCATCAACGCTCACCATCTGGCCTCCCTGAAAGCTTCTGATGGACAAGAGTGAGTAATATCGGGATTGTTTGATAGGAGGTTGCGCAGAGAAGTAAGAGAGAAGAAGAGCTAATACATATCACAGGCTGAGTTGCGAAGAACATGTTGAAGGATGAAGGGGTTTTATAGGCGTGTGAGGAGGCTGAAGAATGAATTGAGAAGGTAGCTGAAGACCACGTGGATGGAGTTTATCTAACATTACGTTATTATGATATTAATAATGGTAAGGTTACAACACCACTACTTGTTTTGGAACTAAAGAGTTTGGTGGGAAATATTGGCGTTGCTTTGTAGACTCCGTTCTTTCTTTCTTTCGTGTGCGCACCAAGTCAACATCTATTTTTTATGAAACCCCCAGCCAACCATTGTATTCTTTATATCAGTTTTCTTATTTTTAATTGCAAAGATTTGACCTTTTGACCCACCACTAAAGTTGGACTTTTCTTCACTTTTCCCCCTTTTTTTCCTTTAAAAAAAAAATAGGATGCGTTAATTAACTAACACGTTACGTGACGTCAAAGTCACTGCTTTAAACTTCGGCGATATCAACGTGTTCCCGTTTCACTGTTAAAAATTTTATATAAGATTTTAATTTAATTTCTTAAGTTTAAACGTATATTTTTAGTCTTTCAGTCTTAAATTTTTTTAAAAAATGATGACATTAAGATTTTAAATATTAATAAAACATTCTCAAATGTTAAGATATTAGGTTTAATTTTTAAAAAATTCATGATTGTTACAAAAAATAATCATTGAAATCTAATAATTTTAGAGTTAAATAACCAAATATATGTTTTTTAAATTTAAGAGACTAAATAAAAATCTTGTACAAAATTAAAATACTAGATATATACTTTAACCAGGTTTTTATATAAGAACGAAGTTCTTCTGATGCGTTATAATCAGCGCCAGAAGAGGAAGATAGCGGAGATTTCCCAATTAAAATTTGTGTCGTGTCCTGACAAATGGAATGCTTCCGGTTAATTCGGGCCTTCTACTTTGCGCACGAGTATATTTTACTTCAACACCATCCGTACTATGGGTGATCAATGATGTAATTTTTCCATAAATTTTATATTATATAGTTATAATCACGCCAGAAGAGGAAGATAGCGGAGATTTCCCAATTAAAATTTGTGTCGTGTCCTGACAAATGGAATGCTTCCGGTTAATTCGGGCCTTCTACTTTGCGCACGAGTATATTTTACTTCAACTCACCATCCGTACTATGGGTGATCAATGATGTATTTTTCCATAAATTTTATATTATATAGTAAAATGTATGGGACCTAGCTTCTTGTTGGCAGCAGGAAATAAATGAACACATGACATGTTACGTGGCCTAACAGAATGACAGTTCCGTTTAATCGGTTTACGTGGGTATTCATAATTAGGACCGGAGGAGTATTATATAGTAAAATGTATGGGACCTAGCTTCTTGTTAGCAGCAGGAAATAAATGAACACATGACATGTTACGTGGCCTAACAAATGACAGTTCCGTTTATCGGTTACGTGGGTATTCAGATACCGCACAACATCATTCGGAATATCCGCCTTATGTATTGTTTTGATTGACATGTGTGAAAATCTTTTTGGATTAAAATTTATTCTTGCTCCTGAACTTCGTGCAAATGAACCTTTTGTGTTTTGTTTTTAATTCTACTGTGTTAAATTAAAGTGTAAGAAATTAGAGTAATGAAAAAGTTGCATACCTATAAATTACGGCGTCCGAGCTTTCAAATAAATAGCAAGAAGAATAAAAAGCACGGAGATTGGAGTCTTCTCTGGTGTACTTTTTCACAATTGTAAATAGGGCTGTGTGTGTGTAGATCTTAGATTTCCATATTGCTTAGCCACAAAATTAGTGGACAATGAACCATTTAATACAACATGGCTTTAATTTATCCTTTCAAACATGATAATTTTTTTTTTGGGCCGACGATGGTGATGCATCTCATTCAATTTTTTAACTTAATTATTTTAAAGAAACTGCTCTGATTATTACCCTGTTTTTGTCTTTAATTATGCTTATAACGAGGAATTGGAAAAAAAAAAGAGAGGGTATTTTTAAGCACAGCAGTAGCAAGTGTTTTTTTAACCACTTTGAAAAGTCGTTGTTGTAGAACGGGTTGGTGAAGATAAGGATGGAATTAACAAAATTAAGGGAAGTTACTTTTAAGAACGAGGATCATGGAATTGATTTATATTTTAAAATATATTATATCTGAAAATTATTTAGAAATACTGACATTAGGACAAAATATAAAGTTAGGTGACAATAATTTTTATTAAATTATTCTTTGTTGAATTTAATTTCAAATATCTTAATTGATGATCGATATGGTCAAAAGAAGACAACGAATCATTATGGGGCAATATTTCAACTCTGGGCCAATGAAAGGAGGCGGGGCAGATTAAAGAAAGGCAGCTTCCCGCTATTTACTTCCAACCTTTTCAAAAACAATAATTAATCAAAATGTTCATTATACTATTTTCATATAAGAACTAGTTTCACTTTCACTTTGATTCTATATATAAGACTCTAATTTATTTTATCTCTTATATTTAATCATTTTTTTAAAAATAGTTCTTATAATGATTGCACATGTTAAAAGTTTTATCAAATAATGGTTATAGCTAATACACATGATTAATAAAGTTATTATAAGAAAAACAACACCTAACTTAACAGACTTTCTTAATGTATTTAAATTAGTCCACTAGCTTTTTATTATTAAAAACCAGAAGTATTATATATGGTCTTTGCTATTCTTAGAAAACAGCTAACTCATTCATGCATATAAGGTTAAATTAATAAGAAGGTAGGCGCCAATGCATTGAATTTGGATGTTATATTTTATATACATACATATATATATATATAGATGCCCTAAGTATTATATAAAGGACATTATTTAGCTAGCTTGGTGATGAGGTTTGACCATGTTAACATGCAGAGACCTGCAATAACATGTTAAATGAGTTTTGACAAAGATTCTTGAGAATTTTATTGGTTACATTATAATGCAGCGGAGTGGTCGCACTGGGGGTAGTTACATTCTTGCGAGTTTCGTAAAAGGTGTAATTAATTAAGATTCTCATATGGATAAGCACTAAAAACTTTTTGAACCTAAATATTTAAAAGCATTAGACGGCAATCATCATAAATAAATTAAAGAGTGCAAACACAACTAACAAATGATGGCAGTATTATATATAACATTATTATTATTATGATTAAACTTAATTAATGACGAATTCAAAGTTGGCGGGTCTATCACATCTTTTTTATATCTCAACTATAAGGTTAGTGCCTTAGAGTCTACCCATATAAACTGGCAGCTATATGTGTATTTTTAAACAATAAAGAAATCATATTATGTACTACCTCCGGTCTTAAATATAAGAGCCAGTTGACTAATTTGAATATATTAAGAAAACAAATTAAGTTAGTTATTTGCAATAAATATGTGTTATTTTTCCTAAATATTCCTTACTAATCAAGTTTTTTTGGTTAAAACCATTATTATTAAAAGGACTATCTTTAAAAAAAAAGAATAAATATGAGAGACAAAGTGAACTAAGATCTTATATTTAGGACTAAAACAAAAGTCAAACGAGATTTTATATTAAGAACCGGAGGTATAATATCAATATAATTGACGGTACAGTCAAGTCTTGGACCAAAACTGGAGTAACACAAGAACCCATTCTATCATTTGTATTATACATCCATATGTCTTTCAGCAACGGAACTGTGATGGAAGATTAGTCCTTCCCGACAAACATATCCATAACTAATATTCTAACCTAAATTCTTTAACACGTGCTTACCAACAAACCCAAACACAACGATCTAGTTCTACAGATCTATTTTCTCTCCACTTATAGTTTCAAATGCGTATGGAAGATATTGCCTACCCCGATAGAGCTTTGGTCACACTGCTGTTTATTTCGTTACGGAATATTATTAACTTACTCGCTTGCTCTAATGACTAGCTAATTAATTTGCCGATGTTCTGTTCCTCAAACGGTCAAGCCGCCACCACACTCTCTCCTCTATTCATATATGTGTGTGTGTGTGTGTGTGCCTTTGATTTATAACCCGTCCTTACTTTTAATCCTCAAACCTCTATCGAAAGCGAAGTGATTGCATCTAATTATAAGTTTTAGAAGATATATATGAAAAGAATTATAAATGAAGCTTGCAGTAGTAGTCTTATATATGGAGAACGTTGTGTTCATCTTATTTTCGTAGCTCCTTGCTGTGAATAACTTTGCAATATACAAGTTATAATTTGAAATTTTAAAAACCCACAGGTACATGAATACACAGTGCATAAACAAATTTTTCTCAAAAAAACAAGTGAAACATAATGGCAAAGAATGCTCTTAGTTAAGGTTTCAGGCGGCTATGCTACGGAGAACAACGGTCTCAACGGTAAGTCCAGGACCAAACCCAAACAGGACACCCCATTCAAGTCCTTCCCCGGTGGTCTTGAGCCCATCTTCCGCGGACTTCCTCCTCATTTCGTCCAAAATGAACAACACGCAGGCACTCGACATGTTCCCGTACTCGCTTAGCACGTGCCTCGTCGCCCTCATCTTCTCTGGCTTCAACCCCAACTTAGCCTCCACCTGGTCAAGAATCGCAGGTCCACCTGGGTGAGCGATCCAGAAGATGGAGTTGTAGTCAGAGATACCCAATGGCTGGAAGGCCTCCACCAAGGCCTTCTCAATGTTCTTCGATATCAGCCCGGGAACGTCCTTGAGCAAATGGAAGGTCAGGCCAACTTCACGAAGATGTCCATCAATGGCTCCTTCACTGTCTGGCAAAATGGTCTGAGCCGTCCATACCAGCTCAAACAGAGGCTTCTCCACGGGGAGCGGGTCAGAGCCGACAATGACAGCGGCCGCACCGTCTCCAAAGAGGCCTGTCCCACAAGGCTGTCCAGGTGGTGTCGCTGGGTCCGCGGAAGGTGACGGCGGTAATCTCAGAGCAGACGACGAGGACGCGAGCTCCCTTGTTGTTTTCGGCCAGGTCCTTGGCGAGACGGAGGACCGTGCCTCCGGCGAAGCAACCCTGTTGGTACATCATGTAACGCTTGACGGAGGGGCGGAGGCCGAGGAGCTTGGTGAGCTGGTAGTCGGCGCCGGGCATGTCGACACCGCTGGTGGTGCAGAAGATGAGGTGAGTGATCTTAGACTTGGGCTGGCCCCACTCCTTGATGGCTCTGGTGGCGGCCTCTTTGCCCAGCTTGGGAACTTCCACGACCACCATGTCCTGCCTTGCATCCAAAGAAGGCGCCATGTACTCACAAATGTTCGGATTCTCTTTCAAGATTTCCTCCGTCAGGTGCATGTACCTCTTCTTGATCATTGATTTTTCGCCTGAAATGTCGAAGGACACGTTAGTTCGATCATATATGGTGTAAATATATTCAAACACACTGGATTTGCAAATCTGGGTGTACAAGGTTAACATTGTTACTTCCCAAAAGCAGGATTAACAAATTGCTGGATAAAGAATACTTACACATTCTCTTGAATTTTTCTTTGAGCTCAGTCTTGTGCTCGCTGTTAGTAATTCTGAAATAGTAATCTGGATAAGCACTCTGATCGACACAGTTTGGTGGAGTGGCTGTTCCTATGGCCATTACTGTGGCTGGCCCTTCTGCTCTCTGAGCCTTGCGGATCTCCTCAACACTCACCATGTTTCCCCCTGTTATTGTCTTCTCTAAAAACAAGAAGAGAGATCGGACGGAAAATAGAATACTGTGGGGAGCAAAGAAGGTTATGTGTTATGAACTTGTTGAGCGAAGAAGCTGGGATTGGATCTATCCCTTATATATAACTTTTTGAGCACGTGCATGCTCTCTACCAGCATGAAAAGCTGTGGAAGTTGCAGGCTCGTGGTGATGGCACGAGTTTGGTGGCAAACTTAACGCATGGGTTCGTAGACTCGTACCAAACCATTATCTAAGTGTGACTTTTCCTTTTTTTAATAGACGAAAAAGTGATTGTAATATACACTTGGGGTTGAATAGTCAAGACATAGAATGAGGATATTAGAATTATATTCACATGGGTCAAACTATGCGTTTTGGACCGAACGGGTGGGTTGGTGGGTCATTACGGAGGATTTGCAAGTGGACTCTACACTGTAGGGCATCGTTGATAGAAGGCAGAGCATGGAGTCAAAAATAACGACCAATTGGAAACTGCACACAAACAATCAATGCTGTTTCCTTCATGGCGGCCTTATATATGTTTATTATTAGTTAACACCGTATTAATCGAAGTGATTAAGAATACCTCATTATTAACGACTAAGTCATGTTTATATATATGGAGGCGACTTTTTAAAATCAGATCCACATCCACATGTAAGTTTAAGCGCATTTTCGATGGCTGGCCGAAACAATTAAAATATTTGAGAACTCATAGCCGGTAATATTCTTTCTCTAGTTTATGACCGAGTACTGCTTGATGTGCACGTATTTATATATCCATCTTTGTTCAAAGTACCGGTCCCAAAGCTTGATGATTGCTTGTAGCCTAAGTCCTTTCTTTTCCTTTGAAAAAATCACGATCCCTAAAATATTTAATTTGACTGGAATGGTTCTACTTTGAAATAAAGTTACTTTTTGAAGCATGCAAAATGAACAGGCACGTTTTGTACGTTGCTTCATTATGAATTTGATTATACGTTAGACTAGAGATAAGATCGAAGCCAATGAAGCATAATATATATAATACGACCAAAACAGATTAATAAACAAAGGCATTTTTAAGCTCGGAAGAAAAGCCTTTGAAGACACTAATATTCAATACCAAATCATTGTTTATTATCTACACATTAGACTTGGGAAAATCAACTAAAGGGTGTAGTTACTTTATCTTATACGCGGTCTGGTTTGTCATAATATCAGTAGCAGCAATTACTATCAATTTTAAGTGCATCATAAGAAATTTAAATCAATAGAATAAATTTATATAAAAAAAATCAATTCGATATTCTGAAAATTAAAGTATTTGATCTAAGTTCCGCACCCACGCACGAAGTGGAGTTTGAGCCCAAAATTCCATGGTCAAATAGAGCGAATCTGAAACAGTCATATGCAATTTCGAGTAATATTAATATTTAAAAAACGCATAGCACTATATATTAATAGCGAAAACATAGATATGTGTATTTTTATATATTACTATCTATGGTCCTAAGAATAAGATCTCATTTATAGACAATAAACAAGATCTTATAATTAAGACGGGGTAGTATATTTCAACTTACCATTAACAATCGAATGTGAATAAGGGGCGCTGTGTTGGTATTACGAATTCATCTTTAACCATATTACGCAATCTGTTTTTTCTTTTCGAAAAAAAAAATTCCCATGCCTGGCTCTAAATATCGCCATCTATCATGGTCACACCCTTTTGTTTAAATTCACACAAGTAACAGGTCAAATGTTCCATCATAATTAGGATTTTTTTTCCTTGCCACATGATCCCTTATCATAAGATTAATTTATTTGTTTTAATAATGCTTCGACGTATCAATAATTTTAGCTCAGGGCTAGGTACCAAAAAAAGAAAAAATATAAATCATTTTAAATATTAGTATATATACGAGCGTATAATCTTGACAAGTTGACAATCCAACCGTCCACCTACCAAGACACAATTAATATATAATTAATACGAACTACCTGCTGAATTATACTAGTACAATACGCACATGTAGCTCCATCTAGTCCACGAAAATGCTATACCAACCTCGTTGTATTGTTTTTTCTTTTTTGGGCTCGTTAGAATTCAAAAGCTAAAGGTAATACTAGACTTAATTTAATTTACAAGTTTTCTTATTTTATCAGCTTATTTGATAAAAAAATAATTATTGTGAGATTTTAATTTAAAATATCAAGACGAGTCCATTACTTGATTTTGATGTTATCGTTAAATGGTGACTGGGCGATTAGAATATAAGAAACTTGAAAATTGAAATTCTGCTTAATTTATTTTATTTTGTGGGGAGGAAAACTCAACGAAGTAACAGCGAGTGGAAGCGGTGGTGCTACCAAACTCTGGTGTCACGTGGGGTTGAGGGCTTGAAAATGCATCTCTATGGAAGAGTTTAGCGAGGCACGTGACGTTCATCTACCCCTCGGCTCATCAACTTCCACCACAAACCCTATATAAAAACCCACCTTCCTTTCCCCTACCATTTCGCAGCACACACCCTTTAGCCCCTCTGGCACCGCTCTCATTAATTCATACCTGCAAGTTCTTCTTCCCGTGATCTGTAGGGTAGGTTGCCCTCCGAGCAGATTGCTACCAAATACTTCCAAAACTCAGAAAAAGACAACATGGTGAGCGTTGATGAGATCCGAAAGGCTCAGAGGGCAGAAGGGCCGGCCACCGTGATGGCCATAGGAACGGCCACTCCACCCAACTGTGTGGACCAGAGCACCTACCCTGATTACTACTTCAGGATCACAAACAGCGAGCACAAGACTGAGCTCAAAGAGAAGTTCAAGCGCATGTGTATGTCTTTTTAATCTCATTCTCTTTTTTGTGTTTGGTAGTGAAGATGTATATGGTTTTGCCTTTGTTTAGTTCCTCAAAGTTTATCACGGGGAGTTGACTTAGCTTACTAAAGGGAAACAGGGACTAGACTGTTTCAACCACGCTATATATCTTTTTTATTATGAGATATATACGGCCGCCCTCTTGCGCAGAAGGCTTTTTTGTAGAATCATAGATGTCTCCTTTTTCTTTTGGTTTTATTTTATTTATATTAAAAAGTCTCATAAAATAAATAAATAGGATTAGAGTTTAATATTTAAGATCAAAATAAAAGCCAAATAAACTCTTATATTATGGATCGGAGGTAATAACAATTTGGGGGAAAAAAAAGTGGTTTGAGTTTTCGATCGAGATAGAAGAATCGGAATCTTAATCCAAAATGTTTGACCCCAAGTTTTGCTTGATGAGACAAAAGTGGTTGAATGTTTGATGGAAATAGAACCCAGACTCTCATGAAAATGTAATAATTTATGAAGCGAAACTGTTGATTTCACGAAACAGATCCATAGATCGAATTTGTCTGAATATTTGATACGTATGATTGAACTAACATGTCATTGCAACCCAATTTCAGGCGAAAAGTCAATGATCAGGAAGAGGTACATGCACCTGACGGAGGAAATCTTGAAGGAGAACCCAAACATATGCGAGTACATGGCGCCTTCTTTGGATGCCAGGCAGGACATGGTGGTCGTGGAAGTCCCCAAGCTGGGGAAAGAGGCCGCCACCAGAGCCATCAAGGAGTGGGGCCAGCCCAAGTCTAAGATCACTCACCTCATCTTCTGCACCACCAGCGGCGTCGACATGCCCGGCGCCGACTACCAGCTCACTAAGCTCCTCGGCCTCCGCCCCTCCGTCAAGCGTTACATGATGTACCAGCAGGGCTGCTTCGCCGGAGGCACGGTCCTCCGTCTCGCCAAGGACCTGGCCGAAAACAACAAGGGAGCTCGCGTCCTCGTCGTCTGCTCCGAGATCACCGCCGTCACCTTCCGCGGCCCCAGCGACACCCACCTGGACAGCCTTGTTGGGCAGGCCCTCTTCGGAGACGGTGCGGCAGCCGTCATTGTCGGCTCTGACCCGCTCCCCGTGGAGAAGCCTCTGTTTGAGATGGTGTGGACCGCTCAGACCATTTTACCAGACAGTGAAGGAGCCATTGACGGACATCTGCGCGAGGTGGGGCTCACCTTCCATCTTCTCAAGGACGTTCCGGGACTGATCTCCAAGAACATCGAGAAGGCCTTGGTGGAGGCTTTCCAGCCACTGGGGATCTCTGACTACAACTCCATCTTCTGGATCGCTCACCCAGGCGGGCCCGCGATTCTTGACCAGGTGGAGGCCAAGCTGAGCTTGAAGCCGGAGAAGATGAGGGCGACGAGGCACGTGCTGAGTGAGTATGGGAACATGTCGAGTGCGTGCGTGTTGTTCATTCTGGACGAGATGAGGAGGAAGTCCGCGGAAGATGGGCTCAAGACTACTGGCGAGGGCCTTGACTGGGGAGTCTTGTTTGGGTTTGGGCCTGGGCTCACTGTTGAGACAGTTGTTCTCCGCAGTGTGGGTGTTAACTAATAGGCCCAATAGCACACTGGAAATGAAATGGAGGCCCGGTCGTGAATAATTTATACTGCTATTTCCCCTTTTTGGGACCCTCTGGGATGTTCTTTTAATTTTTTTTACAATGCACTGAAAATGTATCCGCTTTATTTATTAAAAGTTAGTCTGTCTTGATTTAATGTGGTCTATGTAGAGTGCAAAAGAGTTTGCAATATAAAAATTACGATATTGACGATTTACATGACATTAACTTCTTTCCTAAGTTTCGAACTTTTAATCCCTCTTGTAAAGCCAGTCTATCTTGAATTATTCAAGGCAATTCTCCACCCTCGCACCACGACTCGCAATACATGGAGCGCAGCAAGTGCCAAAAGTAACAATGCAACTTAGAGGGTATTTGGGGTAAGATCAAAATCATGGTTTCAGAAGTGCTTTTACGGTATACAAAGTAAATATGTAGAGAGTTTACCTCGATTTGTAAAAAAATACTTATGAAAAGTGATTATTAGGGTATCCAAACACCCCCTTAGTGTGAGTCAAAGAACTTCTAAATCAGCAAAAATGATGATTTTGTTACGTCTTTAATTCCAAATTTCCAACGTAACCTTAAATCTTTCAAAATACTCATGGGTATGAAACTGAATTAAAATAACACAAAATTGAATATTCTTACATATATGTGTGTGTGCAGAACAGATGTGGTGGAAAGCCGTATAAGAATATAGAGAAAATTATTCACAGTCCCTCATAAGAAAATTATATACATGTATAATTTTCCTATATTTCTTTTAATACCGATGAATTCTAAGGGATTAAAATTTACAAAGCAAAACTTTTACTCTAGTTGATTAAATTTACAAGTCTAGATGGGTCATTTACAAGTTAAACCTATAAAAGTTAGCTATCTTAACATCTCTTAATATTAAATGAAATTCGGGAGAGCTATTATAATTACTTTTTTAATCTTAAATTTATGAATATTTTTTTGAATAATATATGGGAAAATATCACAGCTAAAGACAGTCACTAGCCTATGACTAGGGGTGTTCACGGGACGGATCGGGACCGGGACAGGCCCGTCCTAGTTCCATCCCGATGAATAGTAATGGGACAGATTTTCTGTCCCGTGTCCCGACCCATCCCAGGATTGTCCCGGTCCTGGTAGGGACGGGACCGGGACGTCCCGAAATTATTATTATTATTTTTAATTTTTTTAATTTTTTTTAAAAAATCTGATTTTTTTAATTATATTTTTTTGAGCTTAAATCTTATAAAAACATCTTTTTTATTTGTTTGGGCACTCTTAAACAAAAGCTCAAAATATTACATATAATAGTCATTAAAAACTCTAAACAAAAGCTTTTAACACAATAAAAACTTGCTAAAAATTATAATCATCAATAATCTCAAATCATTAACAAATATAAAAACTCTAAATAAATATATCCATAGTTCTATACAATAGTCTCAAATCTTAAAAAAATATGAAAAAATGATATTATATAAAAAATTAAAAAAATTAAAAAAAAAGGAACCGGGACGGGACGACCCCGTCCCGTCCCGGTCCTTTTTTTGTCCCGTCCCGTCCCGAAAAATTTTGGGACGGATCCGTCCCGTCCCAATAAGATTGGAACCGGGACGGGCCGGCTTTGAACACCCCTACTTATGACACGGGAAAATATCACAGCCGCGTGCATGCAAGAGGCAGCCAATAGAATTTGTAAAGCAAGGCCAACCTCACCTAGAAATCATCGCAATTGACTATATTTTTTTCTTCTTCTCACAAGTAACCTCCCATTGAAAATAACTATTTCTCTGGTTCTAAATATACAACTCATTTTATAGTATAAATTACACTGCGAATTGAGTTTTATATTTAAAATCGAAGGGAGTACTATTCATTCCAAGCCATGTAGCAGTTGCAAGGCGACATTCAAGCTAAAATATATTATTTGGACTCATTGAAGTATTAAAAAAAAATAATTTACTCATACATATATTAAGTGTCCGTTTCACCGCTTGGTATGAGGAAAATGGAAGAAATGAGATAAGTGAAAAATTTTAATGAAATTGATTTAAAAAATTAGAAAAGAAGAGTTAAAAACTTAAATTAATTTTGTTTGCTCTTTTATTTTATATCTTCTTTTATCAAGAATTTATATTTATAATCGGTAAAAATGCAGCTGGTTTTGATAGGCATTCTTTAAAGGGAATAGGCGGGCTCTGCACGGGCCTGGGTCCTTTTTTTTTTGGGTTTTTACAGGATAAGTTTTATGCGCAGAAGCAAAGATGTTTTTGGTTTACCCGACGAATGCTGGTTAGTAAACCGACCCGACATCTGGCCGAACACCAGATCGTTGCAAGCGATGGTGATCCGCAATGCGCATACATCCATTGGCGAATCGATTCAGCGCAGGGGCTTATCACCATCATCGTCCTTCGGGGTACGTTCGAGTTTCGAATCCATCCGATAACTGGGTAATATTCTCTTTTTCCCTATATTTTCCGTTATTTGTTTTTAAATTTCGAATCGATCAAATATTCAAGTAATCTTTATTCTCTATTTCATCTTATATTTTCTGTTTTGGTGGATTCTTTTTTGTCCCCCTATTTTTTCTGCGGTTCTTTTTCTTGTGCTGTCCTGTCACTTTTTCATTTTTCATCGTCATCAAATTTTCCCGTCTTGTTTGTTGGGATTTTATATCCTTTCCCGTTAGGATGTTTGCTTTCTTTTATCTGAATAAATAGATGTAGCAGGTTTCAAGATTTCTGTCGTTATTCAAATTCATTTTATTTGTGTATTTTGTGGGCGTCTACTATTTATTTTCACAAAAACTATTGTCAGACCTTATTCTGGGTTGTTTAAAAAAGTTCAATGCATGCATTGGTCTCTTATTTTCAGCAAGCATCAATATACTACTGTTATTATCTCTCAGTACTTTTGTTTGATTCTTTTATGTGGGAAGTGTAATACAAAGCTGATTACTCAGTGTAACAACTTTAGTTTAGCAACTTCCTTTCTTCAGGTTTCGTCGTATTCATTTTTCTTTTGATGAACTGGAACTGCCTCATTTAGCCCCCCTTCCTAATTTCTCAAAATCTCTTCTTTTTGCACACAAAGTCCTTGCCCAGGGATATAAAATTCTGAGTTACTGCTTACATTTGCTTGGATTCCATTTGCCAGTGCTAAACATAATTTCCGAGTCTGCCTCCTCAGCCAATAAAGTAAAATAAAGATTTTTGAAACAGAAATTCTGATTTCATCCTGTCTTGAGGGCTTTAATTTCTTGACAATTGCTTATCAGTCCATGGAGTAGCTAGGATGCCACGTTAAGATCTTCCCATTCATGTTCATATCAATCTCTTCCTCTTTATTCATATTGTCAGGCTTATATTATTTTCCAAGCATTAGCATATTGTGGAGTTCAGCTGGTTGTTTTGGATTTATTTTATTTTATTTTTTTTAATGGTTTGCTCGTTCTTTATATGACTGGCTTGAACTTTGTATGTGATACAGAAGAAAATATGGAGGATATGGAGATTGATCAAATTGTGGATGTTCCTGACACCCCTGAGAGATTAACTAATAGGCATTTTGGTCGAAAATATGCTGGTAATCCTGATGTTTGTGTGAATGAGAAGGGAGAGAGGGCTCCCCCTGTTGCTGAAAACAGTAAGAACGGAAGATTGGCTTTTTGTCTTTCAAAGAGCTCAAACAGTGGTGAAATGAATAACTGCATAGCTGCATCCCCATCAAATAATTCTTGTGCTTCTCAAAATGCTCCCATATTTAGGAGGTCCCAAGCTGACAAATCTTTTAGTAAAGAGTTCGCATATACAGCTGGATCTGAGAAGATGGAGAAAGGGAAAAATATATGCCTTAAATTTCCTTCTAACTCATCTTCCGGTGGTGATGGGGGTGTTACTGTCTTTGATTTGACTGAAGAAAATGGACAGCCCCAAAAACTCAAACCATTTTTCTCACGTCAAGGATTGAACGATAATGCAACTGAAACTAAGAAAGACGGGAAAGCAAACACTGGGAAATCTCCTATATCTTGCATCCCTGATTCTTCAAATATATCTAGCAATGTCTTAAGAGGAAAGTGTAAAATAGATGATAAAACAAATCCATGCTCAAATGTAACTGTTGATCGTGGAAAGAGTATTGATCTGTCTAGTGATTCTCATCAAAAAACTGAAAAGCAGGTGTCTTTGTCTCCTCGCCTTATAACCGCCCCAAGATTCAGAGGGCAGAAGAGATTGGTGCGAAATGGCTGTATCTCACCTTATAATATTGCAGCTAGAGCAAAACAATCTGCTGAACAGAATGATGTTGAACAGGGCCATGTGGTGGATGATGTTTCTGGCAACACAACTTCTCATGCGAGTATCAATGATATAGTTGCTGAAGAGAGAAGCAGTAACAGAGTGAAGGGAAAAGGATTATTTATCCATCCTTCAAGTGTGCATGATGCCAGAACTATCAACACAGCCAGCAGGTAGTGCTACTGTGCTTTATACAATTAAGTGTTTGCTAATGGAAGCTATTGGTTAGTATTACCTTTGCTAAGAAATCTTCATTAAAATATTTGTTGAACTGGGTTATTGACACCTATCCTGATGAAAGTGCTGTAGATCTAGATGCTAAATCATAAATATCTGCAGAATAAATATGAAGAGGATGTAAACGGATGTCATTTGATGAATCCACATTAAGTATTCCTTATGATTTTCAAAATGTTTGTATCAGCTCTATTACGTCTGCTATGTATTAACTCCAAGGCTTTGAAATTTTACGACATTTTTTTGCTACTTCAGCAGCCCTATGGATAATCATGAAGAGGCCAGTGGTACCAGTAATGCCATCAGAAATTCGCATGAAAGCTTTGGGGATCAGATGGTTTGACAATGACACGTAACTGCAGAACTACTCATTGGCCCTTGCATGATGTAACTGGGCATCGTTCAAGGAGAGGTGTAGATTCTGAAAGATTTATTACGACACAATGTAGGAACAGAGTGGGTAGAAGAGAAACTGGGAGCAGTCAAAACACTATGGATAGGTATCCTCTAGAAAATCATGCAACTTCTTTGATCATTCCTGATGCTGAACAGTCAACTAGACCTTGTAATACAGCAGACAAACTGACTAAAAGGCAAAGGAAAAATGCATCATCTTCTAGAAATCTTAATCCAGAGATTATGATTCTTGATTCGCCTGGGGAATCATCAACTATAAGCTCACCTCAAAGTCCTGAAGTTGTCGAGGTGTTACCTGGATCAACACACATCAACAGAGCATCCCATGATTCAGATGACATGAATCCTATTGATTCAGATACTCGGGCTAGACAGGTAGAAGCAGATGAGATATTGGCCCGTGAACTTCAAGAACAACTATATCATGAGGATTCTTTTGATGGGGGAGAGGTCAGTTATTTACTAATTGTCACTTTGTTCTGGTTGATATATTCTAAGCATATGCTTCTTATTACTGGCATTTGTCATATGTAATCCAGGATATTGATGAACATTTTGCATGGACATTGCAACATGAGGAGGAGCTTCTGCATACATCTCTTGAGAGTCACCATATATCACACCCTGTAAGCTTCTGTGTGTGTGTGTGTGTGTGGAAAAGATGTAAGGAGTTAGCGATAGATGCTTCTAATTTGGAACATGACCTTTAATGTATGTCTACTGTGCGAGGGAATTAGTTTCTGTTATTAGTAGTGGATACCTCGAGCTCAACAACACCCCCCCCCCCCAAAAGAAAAGAAAAGAAAAGAAAAACCTCTGCAGCTATGATGCTGAAATTATTGCTTATTTTCTTTTCACTCCACTCTATGCCTTCTTCCACGCACAATGGGGGGATAGGAAGGACGTGCCAAATCAATCTCATGTTACATGACCATGTAAAAGTCTTTTCAGTAAAAGGGAAACACTTTGAATAATAAGACTTGGTGTTTGGTGGTAACTTATTGGTTTGAAAGCAATGATAATTGGTCCTTTTTTGTTACAAGTTAATCCTTTTGCATATTATAAATTTTAAAAAAAATATTATGGACCGTTTATGAATGCTAACATGTAAAATTATTTTTAGAGGTGCCTGCCATTAAGATGCTTTGTAATTCCACACCCATACCCTTGTGTATGATAGGGATCTGTTGTAATGAATATGAAATAAAATGATGCCTTTTTCCCTTGTTATGATAGGTTATAAGGAAAACACTGAGCATCATAGTTTATTCTGGTAGAGACTACAGAGACAAATAAAGATGGATGGCTTAACCTCAACACTACACCTCTTGCTTGATTATGGAAAATGATTATCATGTTGATCTAACATACCAAACTTAAGATGAATTAGATAACATTATGTGATAAAAAAGTTAATAGTCTCTTTCCATTTAAAAAGTACATGATGTTTTCACAAAAAAAGAAATGTTATGCTAGATTTTTTATTTTATTTAATGGAGCATGAAATGATGTTGGATTAGTGTAATATTTGGAAATATGATTTTGTAAGAAATTCGTCTTGTAAATTTTACTTGAAACTGGTGTCAATTGGTCCCTTCTCTCTCTCTCTCTCACACACACACACAAAAAAACACAGGTCCACGTGTACTTTCTGTATAGGTAATTGCTTTTGCCATTCATGCATTGCTACTTAACATATTCTCTTGAATCTTTTATTTTAATTATATAGAGATGGTTGTCAAGGGCAACCTCAAATAGACAGCCTCGTTCCCGGTCTCACCAAAGTCCTTCAAATAGAAGGAGAGCCGTTCCTCATGTCCCTCCCTCTAGTAGAGTGTCACAGTTGAGGAGTCGCATTTTAAACCGGTCTTCAGTACCTGCCACTGCAACCAGAGGAAGACGTCTCCGGTTTCCTGTGGATATGGACTTTGACATGGTATTTTCATTTGCTTTTCCCCCCAGTTCTATTCTTGTTTCTTTCTTCAGTCTACTTCTCTTGGATGTTTTAACATCTTTTAAGGTAACTATGATGATTGTTTGTGTAAGACAAAAATGTTTCTCATTACACGAGATGTTGTGAATATTCTACTATTGCCTCCTCATTTTCTAGAGGGTATTGCTCCCTTATTTCCTAGAGCTGGTGTGCTCTTTTATTATAATAGGGTTTAATGTTGAGTGAAAACTTACTTCAGGTAATATCAGAGACGAATCTAAATTTCTGTATCACTTGTCTCATGAGTTTTTGGGAGGATTGTATTGGGAGTAAATTGCTAACACAGTAATTACCTTTCTTGTTCAGAGACTTGATATCTTGGAAGCATTGGAGGATGCAGTTGGAGATATTAGTGATATGGGAATTGCTGAAGACATATTTCAAGCTCACCGAGACTTCAATGAGTAAGCTTTTTATGATAAATTTGTGGGCATCAATTAATTTCTTTGTCGTGTTGGTCAATTATTTATTTCTCCATAAGAAAGGACGTCTTGAATGCAATTGTTCCTTGGTGTATCTGTTCTGTGTGGATGAAAAATGTTAGGAATCAACGTGCTTAAGAACATTCAAGAGGAAATGTATATTTTTTTTGGTTGACAACTGAGGTTTCTATTTAATTACTTTAAATGGACGTAGTAAGCTTTGAGTTCCCCATGAATGTGATGTCAAAATGTAGCAGTCAAATGTTCAGGAAGTTAACTTTGCCCTGGTTTATGCTTTTCATTTTTGTTCAGTAATTCCTATGATGGTACATCTGGATTAAGAAGCTTCAGGAGCAATTCAGGTCCAAAATGGAGTTTCAAATTTTTTTTTTTTGGGTTAAGACGAAGTTCTTTCTTTACGTTAAATGCAAGGATTTTGAGTATGATTACTTTCATTTCTGGACAATATTCCATTAATCCTCCTCAACTAGAGAGATATGGGTACTCATGGCCGATTTGGTTTACTACTGTGCTGCTGCAACCCTGCAAGAGTCGCTACCTCTTTTATAGCCTAGTTGGGGTGACATTATGTTGTCTCGCTGTTGTAGCCGAGTTGGAGTGATATTGTGTTGTCTTTTAGATATATACTTTCAGTACCCTTTCACTTGCTGAATTTTATTATTATTATTATTTTTTTTTTGGCCTGAATTCACTTGCTGAGTTGACATGCTTGCCCATTAGCATAGCTGTAAGGAACATAAATTTAAGGGTTAATATCGATGTTTGTCCTTATAATTTAATCGAATTTTGGTTTTGGTTCTTGTAGTTTCAAATTGTTGGTTTTAGCCTCTATAGTTGAAACGTTTATTTCTTTCATTCACACAGAAATGACTATGAAATGCTGTTGGCCCTTGATGAGAATAATCACCAACATGCTGGTGCATCTGTCCATCAGATCAATAGTTTGCCGCAGTCCACTATACAGGTAATGCTTACATGAGCATAATGGGATATGCACTTGAATGCATATTTGAGACTGACTCACTGGTTAATGTTTCTCTCATTTTTGTTTTGTTAGACTGACAATTTCCAAGAGTCGTGCGCCATATGTCTTGAGATTCCAGTTACGGGAGAAGTGATTCGTCATCTTCCTTGTTTGCACAAATTTCACAAAGATGTATGACCTTCCAGCTAATCTTTATTCTATTTTTTTCTTCTGGTGAGGAGTAAATTCTAAACCTGCTAACTAACCTGCATTTTGGCAGTGTATTGATCCTTGGCTCCGTAGAAGGACCTCGTGCCCAGTGTGCAAGTCATCAATCATCTAATTCAGTTTACCTTGCAACTTAAATTGTCCTGCTGCGATGGACTTTCTTAGAACTCTCATTTTTGTCCGTCAAGGTAATGCCGAGCGAGATAAAAGTGTAATGAAAAAATGATTTCTTTTGCAGTTACACTTTTGACTGAGATCTCGGGAAAAAAAATGGAAATCGATTATTTTTGCTTCCTCATGGTGTTGACGTCCCTTTCTTGCCTTTGAGACTTCTAATTTTTGAATAAATATGTTAAGAGTAGCAGACTTAATACTGGTTTTGTTATCAACGCCTGCTGGTCCTTTAAGTCTGCAAATCAGTGGAACGTTTGAAGTTCACGCAGTTGTTTTTTTTTTTTTTTTTAAATAAAATTTTTGTTATATAAATAATGGAAATAAAAGTATTTTGATCAAAATAAATTTGCGCATAGTTTTCCCTTTTTTTAAATTTTGGATATAGAGCGTGTGATTTTTTGCTTTAGGGTTTGAATTAATAGTTTAGACGCAACAGGATTTATTTTTATCCTAAATAATAACTGCGATGTTTGTAATTCAAATGTGCATGTACCATATTATTTGGATTAAAATATAAGAAATACGTTGTGATGTTTAAAAGAACTCTTTGGATCTTGAAGTAGCGTGCTGGCGAAGATGGAGATGGAGGTGTACGGTGCAGCTGAGAGAGTGATGGTTGATTACTTGTGAAAGGTGATCCCTGTGGAACCACGAGACCTAGCACAAGTGGCAGGTACTTGGGTTGCTTAAGCATCCGTCCCAGGTTCGATCCGAGGGTGTGTATGCAGTAGGAATCATGGCCAGCGCTAATGCCTTTTTGGGACCTCTACAGTGCGTTTCGGATTAGTCTGAGCCTGTCGATGTGCCTGGAAGATGGTTTTGGCTTAGGATAACGGGGGAAGAAATTCAAAAAAGTGATCCCTGTGGAATGAGCTAAACCTGCCAAGGAAGTTAATGGATAAAGAATAAATGTGGATGGATCAGACTGGGACATGGCAGTGTACCGTGGCGGAGGCAGGAATATGGAGGAAGTTTTTTGTTGGGGCGTTTAAGCTCTATGAAACAGCAACAAACTTATTGTAGTGTGTGTCATCAACAATAACAATGGCAGACGGTGGAATGGGAGAAGCAAATGGATGTGCACGGACGCTTTGGCGAGTTCCCTTGGGTATTCATTTCCCATTTCCTTAATTACCGAGAGACCCCTTTTTTTAACAGAGATTCTGATACCCTCGGACCATGTAATTTTGTGAGACTGTAAGAGATGAAATTTGCTTATAAGAAATTCTAAATTCCACTCCACCTCTTCTTTTTCCAACTAGAGAATCAAATTAAATGATCCTAAAGATTTCAGCAAGTCTATAGATACTTAATAGGATTCCAAAAATGGTTGCTCCCATCTTTTAATTGATATCGCAACTAATTTCACTTGCTAACGAACCTGTTATAAAATGTCATCGCTCAATTCAAAATTAGGATTTCTCATACGCCACGATATGCGATAAACGAGCATAACTGCTTCTGTATCAACTCAACATAATTAAGTCCCAAATGATCAGGGAAACAGCGTTAAGATCACAATCCCACTCCATTAGCTCATCGAACTTATTGTTTTTCATTCAATAAAGATGGGGTAACTAGGCTCGGGATAAATAACACATGACTCCAATCTTACGCAAGTCTGTTTCAAATATATGCGGTGTATACTTCAAGGGGGTAGCAGATATTCTTGAGAAAAATTCAGTCCAACTTATTAAGTCTTGATATGAAGGTCTACCGAGCATCCTTAGATAGGAGGAGGTTGTCGTTGACTTTGCGGGCATTGCAAAGATCATCAACATGTGCACCTCTCTCGAACACCGCAGCTGCTCCCATTCCAGTGCCTGCTCACGGTTGATAAATACCCATTATGCTCCGCGCAGGGTGGAGAACACATTCACACAATTAGAGAGAAAAAGCGAAGTAGTACCTATGCACATGGATATAACTCCAAAACGGCAGTCCTTTCCTCGACGTTTCATTTCATGCAACAATGTTGCTACGCAGCGTGCACCTGCAACAGAACCAATTATGAAATTAACATCATCATAAAATAATTAAATAATGGGGCAATCGAATTTATAAATTCTAATCCACACCTGTTACGCCCAAGGGATGCCCAAGGGCAATTGCACCTCCATTAACATTAATCTTTTCAGGATCAAGATCCAGCTTGTTACGGCAATATACAAACTGGGAAGCAAATGCCTGGATAAACGCTCGTTACTTAAGTGAGTCAATATAAAATGAACAAAAAAGGAATACAAAGAATTACCATATTTATTTAATACCTCATTTATCTCAAAAAGATCAATGTCGCTGAGCTCCAGACCTGCAGCCTTTACAGCAGCTGGAATTGCAACAGCTGGGCCAACTCCCATGATAGCAGGATCCACGCCTACTGCAGCAAAGGTCCTACATGTGGGCCAAAATATAAGCACAATTTTGTTTCTCATTAATTTCACCATCTGAGTACAACTAAACAAAATATTGCAGCATATGGCATATGGTTAAGGATCTAAGCATAAATCATAAATCCTATCACAAAAGATAAAGATGCAGTCATGCAGATATAGGAACAAGACCCTGTACTTCAACAACTTCGTGAGATATACATGGAAATTAGCTTAGTGGAATTTGAATGCTAAAAACATAAAAATACAAGGATGAAGATCAGAGAGAGTATTGGTGTTACAGCACAGATATAGATTCTTTTCCAAAAACAGAAACATCCTTCTTTTTGACTAGGTATGGATACTATATTACATGCTTGTTATAAAGGATATTACTTGAAAATTATTCCAAGAACTGATTATTTACAAATTATGAATAATGAACTTATCTATGGCTTATGCGCTCTAGTATTACTATTGGGGTTTAGTATTTTATGCATATTAATAGCATATTTTGTGCGTGTCTCTATTATATATTTCCTGCAATTTTCACCTGTTACCACATCTTAGAGTTCAGTACGTTTTTACAATTCAAGGTTCAAAACATATGATTTTCTGATTTGTGATGCACATCACAATTTGACAACTATGTTCATCCCCTCTTGCTTGGAGAGTTGGAGGCGTATGTAATATGGGTGCTTGTAGATATAGAGAAGGTTCATCTAAATTCATCCGAGAAAAGGGCACAAAAAATAATTACATTGTCCGTTCCTGATTCATAAAGTTTTGGACACATTAAAATGCATACAAGAGCTTGCTAAAATGATGTTATCCATGCTACCGCTTAAGTACCTGAATATACCAAGGATTGGTAGTCCCTTCTGCATTGCAACACTTCTTTTCATCAGCAAAACAGCCCCAGCACCATCGCTTACCTGGCTAGAATTACCTAAACCACAGGAATCAAATGATGAAAAAGATGACTCAAATGAAAATTTTGATAAAAGAATCATATTTGTTTGATGATATAATACCAGCGGTGGTACTCCCATCTTTCTTAAACACTGGCTTGAGTCTGGCCAAATCAGACAGTGTTGCATTTGGTCGAATTCCATCATCAACAGAGATGGTGACGGGCTTCTCCTCATTAGTTTTTGGATCCACAATCTATTACGATAAAGTTCATTGAGAACCTAGGACCTCAAAGATATACCACTTATTCAACAAGCTAAATAAAAGTTTACTTTTACATACCTTGGTTGAAACTGGGATAATTTCATCTTTAAATCTGCCCGAAGCAGTGGCTGCAGCAGCCCGTCTGTGAGACTCAACCTGCCAATACCATTGTTGAGAAATTACAAGAGTCATTAAACTAAAAATAATCCATTTACATAAAAAAAGAAAAAAAAAGAAAGAAGAAGAAAAAGAATGATGTGTTAATAGATATGTCAACTTACAGCTGCCTGATCTTGTTCCTCCCTTGACACTCCAAAACGGTGTGCAACATTTTCAGAGGTAATACCCATAGGAAGGAGGCAGTTCTGTGCTTGTTCGAACCTCTCTACCTACCAAAGCACATGAGTTAATATCAGAAAATTGAAGCCCCTTCAAAGGTTCTGTTTCCAGGAACGAAGGTCAAATACTATCATAAGGTGCCAAGCCAAGGGAGAGAGGGAGACATACTTTAGGATTGACCGACCCTTCCCATGCCATTGGATTAATTGTCATAGATTCTAAACCAGCACCAATACCTATACAATATAGTCAAAGGTAAGACAGAGTGTTCAAAGGCAGAGAAATTCCAACCAATCTGATGCACTCTTTACCAATGTCATAGAAACCAGCCCTTATAGCTGCAGCTACATCAGCAACAGCTTGCAGCCCAGAAGAGCATTGCCTATTCACTGTCCTCACAGGTACAGTTTCTGGACCATACAAGTTGTCAAACGTAAGTTTAGTAGACCATCATAAACCATGAGGCTCATAAAGAACTATTTACATAGACATATACCAGGAAAACCAGCATAGAATGCCGCCATTCGGCATTCACTAGCTCTCTGAGATCCAGGTGCCAATACAGTGCCCACAACGATGTCACCAACTTCAGTCGGATTCAAATTGGTTTTCTCTATCAGAGCCTATGATTAAATTCAAAATTCATCATCAAGGTTGAGCGCATATATAAGCCAAATGAGCGGTTAGAAATCAAGAATTTTAATGGACAGGGACTGATCATAATGCTTGTAAAACGAATATAGTTGCAAAATTAAATCTGTAAGTTATATAAAAGAAAAATAAAAAGAAAAAGAGGGGGAAAATCTTGCCTTCAAGACAGGAGCTAACAGATCATCAGCATGAGTATCTTTGAAACCACCACGTTTGGATTTGCACATCGCTGTTCGATACGCTCTGCCAATAAATTAGTAATCAGAAAATGAAACCCAGTCAACAAAAATCCAAGTCAACTTCAGTAGTTGCATAACAAATACAAGAACTTACGCCACAATCACTACATCGTCCCCGAATACAGAAGTCCTATGATATGCAGCACTATCCCCCGCCATGCATGCCGAAGTCTGTTGATTAGAAGTCAACACAGAAACGTAATTACTGGAACCGTCTGAAAGTCAACATAAATATACAAATGCATACCCAAGGAAAAAAAAACTTTAATCAAAATTTCAAGCCACTAATCAATCGTAAATTTTCGTTGTCAACTAATCAATCGTCAAATCTAGTTCTAAACAAAAGAGTCAGATGGGTATTTTCCCGCAAACCAAACACCGTAATCAAAACGAGGTAAAAAAGCAACAAACGCAAATCGGTTAAAACTTCACTGGAATTGTACTCACAGCGAGGGATGATTCGTTCCCGTAGACTGACGAGGAAGGCTTGAGGTGGTCAAGCAGAACCTTTTGCCTGTTGATGGCTTTTTCCATCTTCGTGAACGAATGCAAAAGAGGGTCAGACGACGAAGGAAACGAAGCTATCTGAGAAAACAGGAGACGTGAGGTTTGGAGATGATATGATCCCTGAATGTCACGATATATATAAATATCGTTTGCCTGCGAAGTTGGGGGAAGATGGGGAGAAAAAGCAAACTAATTTTTCACATTAAAATAAAAATAGAATAGTAAAAGGATCTGCAAGGACCGAAGAAGATGGATATTCTGGGCAAAAAAACAAAGGGATAACTATCCGCTTAAATTAAATTGTTTAATTAATTTGAATAAAATAAAAAAATTAATTAATTAGGCTATATGTCCTGGACTACTTTAAAAAGCAAATCATAAATTTAAAACTACTTACAAAATACTCTTCCGGTTTTAAATATAAGATCCTTAGTATAAAGATCTTATATTTAGAACCGGAAGAGTATTTTATAAAACTCTTTTTATGTATTTTAAAATGACATGATTTGGCCCAAACACTCTCTTAGCGTCGGATTTAGTTCTCAATTAATACTTCTTATATATGCCAATTTTTTTTTTTAATACAATTCTTATATACGCATTTAGTAATCCATAACATGGGGGATCTTGCTGGTTCAGTGGGCCATGATCGATGATCCCGTGACGTGGATGCCGCAGCTAAGGTCGAGTCGAGTACGTATCTCCATCGCAGCTTCTAGCGAGTGGTCACTGGCTCTATTAATTAAGTTGCTTAAACACTGCGCATGAAAAGGACCAGTGCTAAGATCTTTGAGAGTACTACGAGAGGAATACCCGACTTGAACCCAAAAATATAAACATAGACAATTACTATTAAGTCATAAGTAACAAAATGTTGGGGAAAAGACAAAAAAGATTATTTCATATTTTTATAATATCATATTATTTACTAAAAATATTAGATGCACTAACACAAAAATATTTAATATGTTTTTTTATCCTTAATATAAGAACTATTTAATTAATTTGACTAGATTAAAAAAATTAATTAATTAATTATAACAAATATAACATGTTCTTGTAAAATATTTTATTTAATGAAGTAAAATACACTGACCACTAGAGCCGGTAATACGGGCTGGGCCCGCGGGCCCAGCCCGCCAGCCCGCCAAAAAAGGCGGGCTTGGGTTGATGTTTTCCCAGCCCGCCATGGTGCGGGCTACTCTAGCCCGCACCGCTTTTGGCCCGCTCCGCCGCGGGCCAGCCCGCCAGCCCGCTTTTTTTTTTTTTTTTTTTACTTTTTTCTGATTTTTAATACATTATATAATATAATTAGATGATTTTGACCATTAAATTTCATATGGACATTACCTCATCCATATCATTATATATATAATTAATTAAGCACTTTATATATATGTATGGTTATATGAAGAGCACTATCCATCTTTTATTTTTATATCTATTTGTCGTTAGTATGCACGGCTTCATAAGATTAGATAAATATGTGATTTTCATGTAGTCATACATACACACACATAAAAGATTTACTTAATTAATTTGGATAAGAAAACTAGTTAAATTAATTATTTATAAAAAATATATATGTTAGTTTTTCTTAAATTTCTTCTAATATTATAAATTAATTCTCTCTTTTTTTTTATTAGAATCCATTACTCAAGTTTAAAACTCGGAGCCTAATTTCAACATTTCAAATTAGGCTTAACTCATACTAATATAATAAATTTAAAAAAAAAAAATTTAGGCGGGCTGGCGGGTTGGCAAAATGCCAGCCCGCCAAGGTGCGGGCTACTTCAGCCCGCACCGCATTTGGCCCGCACCGCGGCGGGCTGGCCCGTATCCGCACCGCCAGCCCGCTTTCCCAGGTCTACTGACCACCTGTCTATTTTACCTTAATTACATGAATTTTTTTATTATTTTGAAAATGTATATAAATCTCCTTTAAAATTAAAACGTATATTACAAAAACCTCCCTTCTATATTTAAAATTTTATTTCTATCCGCTCAAACCATTAGTTGACCTTTAATTTTGATGGTAAATTATATTTTTAACCAAAATACCTTCATTTTAACATAACAATTATTAGACATTTACATTTTCCAAAAAATATTTTATATAAAATCAAAACATAATTGTAATACTTATATTTTTAAAATTTCCAATATGTTATAAAATTTATTAATTTTGATTTAAATAAATTTTTTTTATAATTTTAATTTTTTATCACATTCATTAGAAATTATTTACTTTTATTTTTTTAAAATTGTAAAAGCATATTTCATATACATAGTTTTTGTTTATCATAAAGTTTAAATGATATAATTTTGAAACATCTTATAAATTATTTAAATTTATAATTTAAAACTTTTAAACACATATTTGTTACAAAAATTTATAAACATATTTAGTAATATATATTTATTAAAAAATTAGGTAAATTTTTAATCAAATCTTTTATGTTTGTTTTAACTGAATGAAATTCGCATAACTGTAAAAATATAATTTAAAAATTTATTAGAATATGGGGTAAAATAATAAATAAAATTTATTTTTAATATAAATTGTATTTAAAAATAATATTCCTGAATAAACTATATATTTTTAAAATAGATGAGATGTATGTGTAATTGATACAAATTAGAAAGGTAGTTAGAGCATTTTACTATATTTAATATGATATTTTATATCAGTAAATAGTTTTTTTTATATCAAAATATCAGTTATAAATTAAATGAATTAGTTTTTTGAAAATAATAATAAATACATTTACTACTATCTTATAGGCTATAGCAGGACAAATGGGAATATTATTTGCTACTCAAATTATATTTGTGTCCACGCGCTCGGGGGCGTTTGCATCCTAGAGATGGAAAGGAAGGTTGTCATAGGAATGCGTGCCGTAGGAGATATGGGAAGAAAGGGGCGTTACGCGCATGGGGATAATCCTTCGCAGATGTGGTCAAACCAAGAGGCCTCCGACGTTAGCATATCTTTGAAGAAAACGTAGCATCGATGTATCCTCATATAATATATATATAAAATTAATATAACTAATATGAAATATAAAATTAACGAGAAGTTATATTATTCATAAATTACTCATCTAACATTTTAATTCTTCTGGTCAGATTCAATGAGAGGGAGCGAAGCACTTGATAACTTGGTGATCTTCGTGTATTAAAATCTGGTTGAAGAGAATGCGCTGATATGGGACAAAACTTGAGGGAACGTGTGTGTAGCTTTCATATATACAATTTTGGCTAGCAAGATGGGACATCTAAACTAAATTTCCTATACAAACAAATCTATCAAAATAAATTGAAAGCGTTTCTTTCTTATGTGCATTTCATTTTCAATTTTTTTTAAAAAAAAAAAGGAAAGAAAGAAAACAGAAAGAAGAAGAACAAGAACAAGAAGAGGCTGTCATCAAGTTGCAGGAGCGTGTTTCTTCTTGGGCAGAGCCGCTTGCATGAGGCGTAATCTATGTGTTATTTCTGTGAAGGGTGGCCTGGCTGCAGGATCAGGGCTCCAACATTCTTCCATCAATCTCTTCCATTCTGAATCACAACGTTTTGGGATTGGAGGCCTGAGTGTATTGTTGACAATTCCACCTTCATTAAATCATCAGTAACACAATCAAATCATCATTAGAATTCAAATGACGTTTCAGTACGCTCAGTTTTCCTCTGCTACAGTAGAGTACAAGACACTCTCGTGTGGACTTGATGATACAGAACAAGAAAAAGGTTAGGGGCTTACAGAGTGGCGTGGTAGAACAGTAACGTCACTCAAATGATGGGGCATCTTTTTAATGGTTAGCTTGCTCTGTGCATGATTGGTTAAATTGCCTTTAATTGAACATATATATTAAAATGCATCTAAAACGATAGTTTCACATAACATTCCCACACGACAGGATTATCTGTTTGTTTTTGTTTCCTTTGTTGCTACGTACTAGTTCTCTCACATGCCTTCTCCTGCTTATCCCCTCCCCCCACCGCCCCCCCTCCCCCCCCAAAAAAAGAAAATTTTTGACTATCCAGTTTGGAAAGCCAATGTTACAAGCAGCACCATAATGTTCCTTAAACAGAGAAATCAGATCGTGGTCATGGTCAAGTGATTTTTGGCTTTCATTCTTGATATCCATCTTTGAGGAGGAATGCAGTGAGAAATCTATATGGAAGACAAAGTTAAGATCATACATGCTTACCTATGATGGCACCACAATGCATGCTAGCATATGGCTCTTCCCCAGTCAAGATCTCCCACATGGCAATGCCAAATGAGAAAACATCAACCTATAGGAGAACATAACAGCCATTAGCCGGGCACTTCAAATGTTACATTCCACAGGAAGCGAATGGATGGTGACATTAAAGCAGAAAAAGGGAAAAAAGAGCTACACATAAATGAGTCGCTAACCTTCTCAGAGACCCCACTACTGTTGCCATCTAATAATTCTGGTGCCATCCAGGGAAGGGTTCCTCTGACACCACCAGAAACAAGAGTGTTACGTTTAATTCTTGATAGGCCAAAATCAGCAACCTGCAGGGCACATTTTTACCAGGCTGATTGGTCCTTCAGTTTTCTTGACCCAACAAGTTCGTACAGGGATTGTACAAGAAAGGATGCAGTGAAAACACAACTAATTAAGAGCTCAAGTTGTCATTTTTCTGACATAAATTGATGTTAGTTGGCAGCCATCTGTTTGGTTTGGGCCATGACCCCAGATAGTTCCAGAAAGACTTGGTTTCAATTGACGAAATAGTCTAAAATGTCAGGAAACAAATTCAAATTCATGTATCTGCCACAAGTTACCTTGCACACAGGCCGTTCGGGATCCCCCAAATTGACAAGTAAATTATCACACTTCAAATCGAAATGAACGACATTCTTAAAATGCAAGTATTCCATGCCAAAGGCTGCATCCGTTGCAATCATAAGACGTTTTCGGCGGTCAAGCACTCTGCAGGATGACAAGAAAAAGTGACCTAAATTTAATCCCAGTTAATATTTTGCAAGAAAAATAGCTCCTGCGAATTAACTAACTTTTCCTTCTTCAAGAGAACATTCCTCAGTGATCCATGTACCATATATTCTGTAAGAGTTGCCAATGTCCCACCCGGGCCATCTGGAGCTACCCCATAAAAGGCCACCACGTTTGGATGGTGAAGAGTTGACAAAATTTTTGCCTCTCGCCAGAACTCTCTTTTCTGCACGTACACATATCATTAGCTTCTGTTCTTGTAACAAACAAAACTAGGCTCGCATGGAGTTTAAGGTAAACCGTATTGTTTATAATTCGCAAATAATATAGCGTTCTATGGATTTTATATTTATGTTGAATATTTGATTTTTTTTTAAGACACTGTTTAGGAGTCACCAAAATTGATATTTTGCAAGTCAATAAAAATAGTGTTTCGTTCATCATAAAACTTTTTCATCAATGACTCTCTTAAAACAGCAATATATATAAATATATACAAGCATAAGGAGAATGGGATCATAAAGAATACTCGCAAAGTTCAACTTGCTTATAATTATGTAAACCTACCAACCGCTCTTGCTCTGATAATCTGCCAGAAAAACAACTACTTTTTATCCTCTTGATTGCAACATCTGTTCCCCTCCACTTTCCATGATAAACAGTTCCAAATGTTCCAGATCCTAGCTCTTGCAATTCTTCAATATCAGCATTCTTAATAATCTGCAAGTTTTCATCTCGGATATTAGGTTAAACATGAGCACGAGCAGGCTCCTATTCATCTTCTTATCCCACTAAAACAAATTAAAGGAGGGAAAAGTGAAAAAATAATGAAAATAAAGAAAGAAAAACATGGGAAGTGGACTATCAGAATACAGGGGGCTTTGGACCTGTTTTTATTTGCTTATTTTCCTAAAAGAGCAAGTGACAGGATTAAAAGCAACATAAATGCAGTTTTTGTCAAACAAGTCTCAACGTCTCCCTTGTTAAGAGTTATGGACTGACTAGGGTATGACCGAAGCTACCAGACATGAGAAGGGATAGGAAAAGGAAGAAACAGAGACAATTTTTGGGTCTTTCCACGCTTGATTCAATGGATTTCATGACATGAAAAATTTATTCATCCACCAAATAATATTGAATAACATTTTAGCGTTCAACACAAAACAAAATTACTTCAGATTATGAAACTACAGTAATTTCATACCTGCAAACCATAGAGTTCAGCCTCTATTTCAGCACTTGCTGATCCAATTGACTTATTGAAGTTTTGACTATCAATTTTTGCAAACTATCATGGGAAAAAGGATTCTTTAGTCAATCGAAAAATAAAAAATTAGGAACCACATGATGCAATTTTATTTGGAAATTCTCACCTCACTTTGAGATTCTGGACTGGCACTTTCTTCCCTTTTAAGAAACACAGCTTCAGATTCATCCTCTTCTTCTACACCTGAAGAGCCACTATCAGTTGGCCCTTTAACAATAGCTGCTGCATTTAGCTGCTTCATTTCTCGACAAGTAACAGAGCTCTGTGACTGGTTACGTAGCTCAATGCTATACCCAACAAAAGAATCTTGGTCATAGACAATCTTGTCATTCTTCTGGTGAGGAAAATTGGCAGGATTCTCACCAGAGAGAAAAATCTCCCCTCTGGAAGCTGATCCCTTACTCTGAATTACAATATGAAAACACAAGGATTAATCAATGGCAGACTTAGAGTCAAGTAGACGAATTCCTAAGGAAATAAACTTACAGAGGCTAACAGTATGGACTCTACGTCAGTTTGGGAGTCAATAAGCTGTAAATCAGAGGATCCATGGTGAGATGACTCGCTGTTATCTGTTGTCGACATAGTAAATTGAAGATACATCGTAGAATTTTGGCTTCTCATAAAAAACTCAGAAGCAGCCATGTCTGGTAGCAGACCATGTGGTTGCTCCTTCAGGTTTCTTGTAGATTCAGACTTCAATGAGGAAGCATGTAATTTGCATTCACTGCTTTGTGAGTCTACTGAAGACTGGCAACCAACTTGTTTGTAATTGACGCCCTCCAAATCTTTGATATGCAAGACACTTTCATGTGATATAACTTCACTATTACCTCCAAATCTTCCAATTTCCCCAGAACAGGCATTGTTATTATCTGCAAGTTGGAAGCTCCCTTGATTGGGATTCAAAATCCCCTTGAAACTGCCAGTTTTTCCAAAACTGGGCGGAATTTTATACTCAGCTATCAGTTTTTTTTCATCAATTACCTCCCCCTCCTGAAACGGCCTTTCCCGGAAAGAACTTGAAACTTGCAGAAAAGGCGACTTGTTGCCCTTTACTTTAAGGGAGGGACGCAAGTGATCTTCAGACTTCTCATCACTTTGCAACATTGGGTCAGACAGTGCATGCAATAATCTGCAATGGGACCTCTCTCTATCTCTATCATTAGAGGCTGAAATTACTAATGATGAGCCTTCAGGATGAGAGAGATTCTTCTCAAAATGGAATGAACCCTCGTGTGGACGTGGGGGTCTCTCAGATATCATATCACCTTGACCACACGTTGCAGAAGAGTCAAAGTTTTCACTATGGCTTCTCATGTGATATTGAACACCATCATTGTGATTCTTGGGCTGACCAACCTCCACTATATGTTGATTATTATGATGATAATTCAAAGGGAGGTCCTTGGGCTAGGTTGTTATAGTATGCAGCTGGATCAACATAATGGGCATCATCTCTGTACAAGGAATTGCCACATTGAATTCTTTCCTTCACAAAGGGAACAAGGCCTCCCTTACCAACATTGCATGGCTGGTCTGTAATTAGCTCTTTGTTGGAAATTTCATGATCTTTAGTCTGAGCACGAATACCAGATATAGGACTAGGTGGTGATTGATTGAATGATTTCCCTGGCGCTTGAAGTGCTGTTAAAAACTGAGAACCAGCTTTATTGAGCAATCCTCCCAAACGAGGGGACATTGGACTGCGATCCTTCACATCCCAAGCATATGCAGATGCAGTTGATTCCTTGAACAATCTTGGACTATTGAAATCAGAGGAATTTGCAAACTGGCTTGTTTGGCTTACCAAACCTTGCCCACTGGAGCTCATCCGAGGACTTGGTTCCAGCATGCCATTAACAGCTACGACATACTGATAGTCAACATCACCTGGCAGATTGACTTTTGCTTCAACAGAGTTCGGGTTCTCAGATTCACTTGATGATATGAGAAATATCCGCAGACGTTGAGAGCCTCCAATTCTTTCAACTTCTTCATACTCCTCTATCATATGATGAAGATCCTCATTAGAACAAACAGAAATAAGAGCATCCAGATCCTCTCCAGGAAGCTGGTATTTGATAATATGAGCTTGGTTCCATATTGCATGAGTCTTCTCCATAAGTTGCTTCCAAGCAATGTTTTTCCTTATGGATATAATCCGTGTTTCTCCTCCCACATATCTGAGCTTCCCATCATTTGGCCTAGGTAAGATTCTCCCTCCAAAGCTACAAAGAAATTTTATCTTCTTATACAACGAAGCATCTGAAAGCGCCGGTGGATAAGGATGACAGGACGGAAGGGATTCAGCTGCATAAATGGGCGGAGCAGTTGGTCCTGAAGAAATTGGATCCAAATAAATTTCTTCAGTAAATTTGCCAGATCGTTGTCCAATACCACCATGTTCCCACTGGAACTTGTTCAGATTGTTAGGATATGACCTGCTTTCAGGTTCAGCAACGTATCCTGATGTTGCAGCGAAATCTGACAAATCCGAATTACTATCAGAGTCCATTCTCTTTATTCCAACAACGCGTGCAAGATCGTCATAAACTGCCTGATAATTCTGATTATAATCACAACCCGATCTATTTGGCTGATGATTGTCCACATCAGTTGTGACAGTGGATCTCCTCAAACCAAACCGATCACGATAGAACTCAGTTGCAAATTCTTCGCCTGTCTGCGAACATATATTGTCTTCATTGCTGTCTAAAAGGATTCTCTCGTTTGAACCAGCAGTTACTGCACCTTTGAGCCATTGGCCAGGAGTGCCTGGAGCCTCACTATTCATGGTGGCAGAATAATTATAGCTAGCTCCACAAAAACATAAATTGCTCTAAAGCATTTTGAGTTCTTGGTGCCCGCACATGTTCAACCAGTGCCTATCTCATTCTTCAAATGTAGATTACTCACTTGAATCTCAAATTCATACATATGCATCCCCTGCCCTGTCGCTTGAAAGCTGATCTTGCAGATACCAACATATCGTAGATGACAATGATTATAAACTGAGCACAACCACCTCAACCCCTGTCTTCATAGGTATATTCAAGAGATGGCATGACCATGTAATCCCTCAATAAAATGAATCAGCAGGTAAACTAAGCTGATTATATTTAGCCGCCATTAAAAGTCTGAAGAGGAAGCTCATGCAATGAATTTACACGTTAATTCCATAAAGGAACTTATGGATTTGAACTCTGCAAAAGAGGCGCGATAAGACACAAAATGAAGAGAATGGGATCAAAAGATGCCAGTTTCAAAAACTACATTCTTTTCTAACAATTAGAGCGAAGTCAGACCAACAGAAACAAAAGTATAAGAAAATGGTGTCAATGAATCAAAGGGTCGAAAGCTATGCAAAAAGAAATTGATTTTCAGAACTTGGTACCTGTTCGAATGTCAAGAGATTCGCTGACAGCATGAAACTATATACTGGGGAGATTGCTGCGTAGGGAATGGAAGAATTGGGAATCGAGGGAATCCATGAAGCACCGAAAAGGAAAGGAAAAAAAAAAAGGAGTTAGAGTGGTTTGGGTTTTGGTGAAACCAGAAAACGGGTTCGTTCGTGAGGCAACGTTTGAGAGGAAGAGAGATAGAGCGAGAGGAAAACGTTCCATGAGGCGCGGAGTTCGAACGGATACGTCGGAGAACGACATTTGCTTAAAATAGTGCAGCACAAACACTGCAGAAGCTAACGACGTGTTTTCTGTGTTTTTGTATGCCATCGTCATTGGTCTCTAAAATGGTCATTGGTCTCTCAAGTCTGATCTATTCTTAAACTTTCAGACCCAGCTTGAAGGGGGCTTGATCTTGAAGGGGGAACCTTGATTCTTGTTTTGTTGCTTCCTTCTTTTCTTTTTCCCACCCCTGCATGCTGCGGTGGTGGCTCCAATTTTTTAACTTTTAATAATTGTTTCTTAATTTTTTAATATCAATTTAAAATCACAGCCCTTTTTAGCGATGCTCTTCTTTTGTTGTTTTTTGCCAAAACAAATGACATTTTTTTAGACAAAACTGTAAATTATTTGGTGTCATGAAAAGTTTTTATTTCTTATTTAATTTCTATGAAAAATATTTATTTTTATTTTGAATTCGTTTTCAATTTATTATATGCCTCCATTCCATTCCTTTTTCCTTTTTTGTTTTGTTTTTTGAGCTGAAAACATTCCTTTTTCCTTTCAATGAAATAAAAGAGTGCTCTTTTCAACCTTAATCATTCATAAAAATGGGAAGATAATCCACCCACTGATCGTCCATGATCATCCTCGACGCCGAAATTAGGATTTGAGCAAGACCTTAGCTCCATTATTTGTGTCTCCAGGTTAAAGCTAGCAATGAAATTCTCTGCCCTTTCATTGATATTGTCGTCGTCGTCGTCTTCTTCCTTAACCCCCATAATATATAGTAACTCCTTCTTCTTCCTCCTCCTCTTGTGCTGCTTTCAGTTATCAGAACCAACTCTTCCATTAATAAAGCTACTATCGCCATGTTTGTGACTTTGAGCTCGTCGTCCGGCGTTCTACACTTAACTTGTACAAAACTAACAGCAACTTCATCTTCTTCACAGCGACCTTGAATTGTCTTATAAATTAAATAATCAGTGAGAGCTGTTGGTCTCCCATCTATGTTGAAGTATACGTAATGAGGAAGAAAGGTTTGATATTTGCCGATGATATAGAAGTACAGGGGGTTGAGGTTTTTATAGCAAAAGAGAGAGAAAGCTTGTATAGAATCTAATTAATTAAAGTAGAAAGGAAGATTACGTGTGAGAATGAGCGTGACGGCTAATGATGATTTGATCAAAGGAAGCTCACAGCCACCAACGTTGAGGGCTTCAGGAAGCGCTCTATATGTTTAGATTGGAATCTATGCAACTAATAATAACAATTAATATACCTATTAGTCATTTTCGATCGTCTTAACTTTAAAGAACAACTTTTAATTATGAACTGGCGGATGCTGAACCCTAATTTCGTTAATAATTAGTGTTTTAATTTTGGTGATGTTTCTTTAGAAGTTATAGCTGCTTTCTGTTATTCTTTTTTGGTTATAAAAGTTATAGTTGCTTTCGATATTTCACATTTTAGGGATGTTTCTTAAAATTATATTGTTTATTTAAATCCTCAAATTTATATATTAGCCTCATAATATTTTTATTAGTATATACATCATTTGAAGAAAAAAATCATTCCTAGCGTTTTTAATTTTTTATATCAAGTAAATATCAATAGCCGAACGTGATAGTTTGTCTTCCCGTCTAGATAATTTAGTAATGCAAGATCAGTTTTTTGACCCAAGTATATTATGTATAGTTACAATAATATGTGGTCGTTTTATAAATTTATCCTATGATACCTTTTCTCAGTTAAAAAAAAAAGGGGAAAAATCAAAAAAATGAGGAACAATGTGAAGCAAAATTGATGTTGCTGCGGTGACAACGAAGTGATTTAGAAAATTGCCAATATATATTCGTAGTTCTCGCAAGAATCGACTTTATTCCAACAATATATTCTGGGAATGGTCATCAAAACCGGATTAGATTTAATCTGTCGGAAAATCATGATTAATAGATATACTGTGAAAAGAAGGGGCAAACAGTTAAAATTAAAATAACCCATCATGAGCATTATCATTATTATCTAAGTCACATTTTTATCAGTTACCTGTCTCTTTATCCACTCCGCACATGCCCAGGATGTGTTTGAAATTTTTTCATAAACTTGTGTATTTAGGAATTCGTGTAATTGACGTATATTATAGGGACTCAAATGAATTTATTGCTAACACCAAAATAAAAAAAGTGTAGACCGTATAAATAATTCAGCTATAGTGCTACAGTTACAGTACTTTAACCTGTACTATAACTGTATAGCAATTATTGTCATAGTTTATACGACCACAATATATATAAACATTCATTCATGAAAAGTATAATAGGATTAATTAATCTACTCGTCGGAAATCATCCTCAAAACCAGAACTTGAGCAACATCTCAGTTCCATTTGTCTCTCCAAGTTTAGTTGATGGCGAAAGTTAGCAATGAAATTCTCTGCCCTTTGGTTGATATCATCTTCGTCGTCTTCCTCATCCCAACGATAATAGTAACTCCTCCTCCTTGTTCCTCTTGTGCTGTCTTCAGAATCATGGAACGCCGTGACTCCTGCATTAGTGAAGCCTCGCCATCTCTGCAATAACTTCGACCTCTTACCACGACGTCCTACAATTGAATGAACTCGCCTGTACAGAGCCAACAGCAACCTCATCTTCTTCACAGCGAACTTGAATTGTCTTATAATAATCAGGGAAAGTTGTTGCTTTCCCATCGATGTTGCTGCTGTGGAAGTTTACGTAATGAGGAAGAAAGGGTTGATATGAATGTTTTGGTGATAACTTTGGGGTGCTGAGGCTTTTATAGCAGAAAACAAAGAAGTTTTTTATATAATCTTAACAGAATTAATGGGCAATTAAGGATTGAAGTGGAAGATTGCGTGTCGGAGTAAGTGTAGTGATCTGAACAAAAGGAAGCTTACAGCAACTTGCGCTGATGAGGGTTTCATGGAGAATATCATGTCTCGATTGAATCTATACAACTACCTTGTCATTTTCATCTTAACCTTAAAGAACAAATTTTAACTATGGTCTGGCGAATGCTGAGCCCTTGTTCTTTTCGTGATACAATAATTCTTAAAAGTTAGAGATACTTTCGCAGAATAATTATACATTTCGGGGATGTTTCATGATTTGTCTCTGGGCAAAAATATTGGATACAACATATTCATATTGGTTAGTAATGCATAAATATATACTATCTCTGCTCTTTAATATAAAAACCAGCTGACTAATTTGAATAGATTAAAAAAATTAGTTAAGTTATTTATTTGTAATAAATGATAGACTATAACTACTATTTAATGAAATATTTAACATATGTAACTATTATAAGGACCATCCTAAAATAAAAAGACAAATATGATAGACAAAATATATTAGAACCTTATATTTAGAACTAAATTAAATGTCAAATTAGTTCTTATATTGAGAATAAGAGGAAGTATGTTGTTTTCCAAGAATATTATGTATAGCTATAAGGTCGTTTTATAAAATTATTGTAAGATTTTTTTTTTTTTTGAACGCCAACTACTTCGATACAAATTTTTTGAAAAAGTCACAACGAAAATGATATAGAAAATTACCGATATGTATTTGTGGGTTTCCTAACAACCAACTTTATTCGAAGAATATATTCTTCATGTGCTAGTCAAGGCCACTTTAGATTATTGTTTTGGACAGACCCTATGTTAGTTAATTAATCATATACACACACATATATTTCAATCAATTGCCGGCCAATACACAAATTGTAATTTAACAGATGAATTAGCTTCGCTGGATAACAATGATTATGGTCAGCTCAACTGAGACCAGCACGATATACTCTCGTGTGAAGTGACACATTAAAAGGCGTATAATATAATTTTAAGGGTATTTCGAAATCTAAACTTTATTTGGAAAAGAAAAACTCATTCAAATTTCACCCTACGCTACTATCCACCACGTAAATATTTTTGATGTTATTATCTGGTTAATCCGGTTCGGAGTTTGTGACTTCTCTTTTCCATAGAGATATCTCATTTAGAACTAGAACTTAAGATCTAAAGAGATTTAACGGGACCTTACACCGCTGAACCAACTCTTTGTTGGTATCCACCACGTAAATATACGTGCGATGATAATTTATCGAAGTAGGCATGTCTTTTAACTTAAATTATGTATTCATATGATACTAAATGTACTTGGATTAATATTTGATTGGAGTGTATCGTCAGCTTTAATCAAAGATTTCAAGTTTAGAGTTGCAGGAATGCAAATTGTGTTAAATAACTTGTGAGAGTTGTTCTAGTCTTTATAAGAGTTAAGCCCAATTTGATCCGGATTTATGAGAGTGCCGTTAAATCTTTTGATTGAAGCAAGGCAGACTCCAAATACTAGGTTGATAGTCGGAATTTTAAATAATTGTGATTAAAATTTGAATTAAAATGGAGACACAATCCCTGTGCATTTGAAAATTTAGAGGGGAAAAAACATGGAATGTTGGTAATTTGTGTTGCGTCCTCGTGCAATAATTTAATGACAAATATGCTAAAATAATTGTTTAATAGCGGCCTAATTCCGATACCAAACAGTATTAAATAATGAACAAAGAGATTGAGATTTATGACGAGTGATATCAAGAAATCAAGACATTCCTCAAAGTTGGTTATTTATTATTTTATTTTTTTGGTTGAAAAAAAGACGTTGCTTAAGGGAATTAAACGCGCTATGGGAATGTTCGGGTCTTGAGGACCAGAAAGGGACCCAAATGACTGAGACTTGGGGCCCAAGTCCCACGTTTGATTGATTCCCACAAAAAAAAAATTGAAGAAGGTTCGGATTTTAAGGGAACTGCCACGAAAGTTCATTTATAACTTATGAGAGGCGATGCCATTGCCCGCTAGTACATCTCGGAGGAGTGCAAGAATCGTTCCGCAGACTGACCAATGATTTTCTATGGCAAAATATTCGTGCTTAGTCCTCCAAACACGTTGTTGTCAATTCATTTAATAAACATTATCATATATAATTGATCCTTTATAAATTCTAATTAACGACTTTATATAAATTAAAAAAATTAATCAGAGTTAATTACTTATTATAAAACCTTAAAAGTATATTTAATAAAAATTATTAGTTAAAAAATTTTGGTTAATTTGCAGAAAACGCCAAGTGAAAAAACAATTAATACTTTAGCAAAACTATGTAATATTATGAAATAAATACAAGAGGAAGAGGTCCTTGTTTATATATATCGACTTCTCTCTCACTTTTCGGTGAAATTGTTTAGAACCAGAGACAGAAGATGTCCATTAAAGGGAAAGAGGAAGGACAAGCCCCAGTGTGAAGACTTGAAAAGCGTCACAAATATAACATAATAAAACATCCAATCCATATATGCGCAAGATTAATAGAGTCCTAAGCACCCATTCCCGGATTATACTGCCACCAAAATCAGTTCAGCAAAGTTAAATCACAACCTGACCCCTCACGTGAATGAGAGAAGCAAAAGAGCACAAAAGAAATCGAATGTCAACAACTCACGGTAAGGGATCACACCAGCCACCACAAAGAATTTCCGGAAGCATTTTCTCCACAGTACCATCCGGAGATGACCATAAATTCATGATCTGGCAGAAGGAAAATGTTGAATTCATCTGTATGAGTCGGGGCGCTTTGGTTTGGTTTGAACCACAGCTTCAATCTTCTCCATCACCGCAGGTGTCAATAATGGAATTACATCAATTGCTTTCATGTTCTCTTGGATCTAATCAAAAGGGGAAAAAGAATCACCAATTTATATCTATAAAAATTTATTAGTAGCGCTCAATAATTTACAGGTCACTTGATTCAAATATAAAAGGAATTTGTACCGGCGATCTCTGGATATAGACAGACTGTACATGTGTTAACATACAATTCCAGGACATTTTAGGACAGCTTCTACTAAATATGTAATCAATAAGTATATAGCAATCTACGATGCTTTGTTGTATAAACTTGACGGGATTATTAAGCCTACTCAACCTATTACTTCCACAAAGACTTACACAGCATATGGCAAAAAGGTGAATACAGGGGAACTGGGACTGCAATAACTGGACAGACAAATTTCACAAGGGTTTATGCGCGAAGACTAGGAGGAAGGGGGGGGTTTCAGAAAGGGGATTCAATGATGAATGATCAAGGAGATAGTGGTTGGAAGATTATTTACTCTTGGCAGGTACGAAAAGGAAGGAAGGCCAGGTCTTGCTTTGTATGAAAAATATTGATCTTTAATAAATATGTCTTGAATAAGTTAAATAAAATTAGACTAACCTGAGACTCCTTTGTAGCTCCAGTAATAACAGATGAAACATTAGGATTTGCGGCACACCATGCAATGCCAAGTTGAGCTAATGGCACACCCAGTTCATCAGCTATTGGTTTGAGCCCGTCAACCTTTCTGAGCACATCATCAACCAGTGATCGATTTGCCAGATTCTGCAAAGCATGAAAAAGAGATTTATACTCTAGATAATGGGAGCATAACAACATGATCTGACCATTCAAGAAGAAGCAGATTTTTTAACTAGTTGTAAACAAACAACGTCAATAAAATCCAAATGAATGTCATCCAAACACCAATACCCCACTGCACTGAACATGATGCAGAGAAATATTACAGTAACAAATTAAGAAGATTAGGAAATAGGACACAAATAAATGGCAGATATAGCCATATATGACAGAAAGATACAAATTAAGGGAAACCATAACATTGCTGAAGTGATGGAAAAGTTCTTTTTTTCTCAACTCATAACTGATGCGTACTGTTCTTTCTCCAAAAACTCTGGCAGTATGAATCTAAATCACCAAGACGCGCGCGCGCACTCAATTTTAGAGGACTAACACTTCAATGACTAAGTAAAAGTGCACTCCGGCTTTTCTCGGAAAATCTAATTCGATTCAAGAAAAGACCAGGGGAAATCTGTCAAAGCAAATTAAAACTTACCCTGTAGTTTTCCAATGCAAACCGGCTGTCCGGTGGTATGGCCCCTTTCTTGTATTTTCCTGTTAGCACTCCAGATGCGAGTGGACTCCAAGTGGTCAGACCCAGGCCATAGTTGCTATAAAGAGGGAGGTACTCAGATTCAACCTATATAAAGCAGATTACAGTCAAAGATCCAATCATGCCTTTAATGACAATTAATAATTGAAAGCTGTTCATAAGAAATTCAATTAAGTACAATATGAAAATTATCCCTTCCTAAACATCACAAAAGGCAATTGCCCAGCATAATGTCCCAAGAACTGGCAATACAAACCAAGAAGTTGAATAATTAGGGGAAAAATTAGAACTATCTGATTAACCGAAGTAATGCATTTTTAAAGGCATGCATCACTAAGAATTAAAAACAAAGGAGGGGAGAGACTAATAAATCTCATGAGTCAACAATGAGATCGACCATAAGCAAAAGGCCACAGTATAGAGTCACCAAGAAGGTCCTTACAAAAATTGTGAAGCAATCAATTCCCAAACGCCAAATACACAAGAAAATGCTTAACCCAAATCCACTACAAGCGCTCTATTTTTTTTTTTTTTTAAAAAACCTTCATTTTTTTCAGCACAGGCACGAAGAATAAAAAAAAAAGAGAAAGAAAGAAAGACAGACAAAGTGCTGGAGCTTTAGAGCGACTGAAATGAAGAAGTCATAGGAAATCTACAGTCTTTAGAAGGTCCGAATTCCAATCAGAAAGAAGAAAGCCAACCCCGAAAACCCACATCAACTAGCGATCCTCAAGACCAAGTAGCCAATAAAACTTACCCGAATACCCAAGAAAACACTCGCCAGATCCCACGAAACGACAAAAATAAAATTGAAAGACCCAGTTGAGTGCGCCAGAAAATCCCTCACCTTGTGCCTGGACAGTAAGTTGTACTCGGGCTGCTCCACAATTGGTCCAACCAAATCCAATTTCTCAGCAACTCCCCATGCCTCAGTGATCTGCTGCGCGGACCATTCACTAGTCCCCCAATAAAACGCCCATCCCTTATCAATCACATAGTTCATAGCCCTAACCGTCTCCTCGATCGGCGTCGATGTGTCAGGCCTGTGGCAATAAATCACATCCACATACTCCATATCGAGGCGCTTCAGGGACGCCTTGGTACCTTCGACAATGTGCTTGCGAGACAGACCCTTATCGTTGGGACCCTGCCCTCCCCAGAAGATCTTGGTGGAGACGACGATGTCAGACCTCTTCCACCCCAATTCGCGAATAGCCTGACCCATGATCTCCTCGGCTCTGCCATTGGCGTAGACCTCGGCATTGTCGAAGAAGTTGACGCCATGGTCGCGGCAGCATTGGAGCAGGGACTTGGCCTCCTTCACATCGAGCTGATTCCCGAAGCTGACCCACGCTCCATACGAGAGCTGGCTCACCTTCAAACCCGATCGACCCAAGTTCTTGTACTGCATGGCTACTTGTTAGCGAAGTGGTCCACAAAGACGGGGATAGAGAGAGCAGAATCCTACAGAAGTCTGGAACTCTGGAGGAAGAACCGGGTTTTATTAGAGAAGAGAGGAGGAAAGGTGGGAAAGGGTAAAGTGGGGAGATGTGTGTGGCATGAGGTTTGATGAGTTGTTGACACGTGGAATTGAATTTACGGAAATGGTCATGAGTTCAGTTGAAATGCTCAAATTGTCCCTTTGAACTGAGAAAGAAGGCATGGAGAGGGAGGGGGGATGTTACGTGGGAAACCGACGTGTCATTCGGCATCTACCTTATGACCATCACTTGACCCTCCGGATGGCCCACGTCATCCTGTGAATATTAGTACTAATACATCCTTTTTTTAGTCCCAAGCTAGTATGGTAACATTCACCTACTAATATTTAATATAAGATCTTATTTAATTTTTATGTTAATCTTAAATATAAGACCCCAATCTATTTTGTTTCTCATATTTACTCTTTTTTTTTCAAGATAGTCATTCTAATAATTATAGTTTTAACCAACACATTGATTAGTAAGAATATTTTAGAAAAAACAATACATATTCATTACACATAACTAATTTAACTAAATTTCTTAACATCCCCAAACTAGTCAACTGGGTCTTATAATTAGGACCGGAAGTAGTATATTAGATGCATAGATGATTCTTCGATTTTGTGAAATGTTAGTACAGATTTAGTGTCATTCATGAATTAGTATGTACATAGATTCAAATAACCTAATTATGACTTTTAAGAATCTTTTTAATCTTTGTCTTATTTTTCTACTTCCATTCATGAATCCAAGTTAGTATAAGAACATTCACATTCAAATACATGAATTATTCTTTGAATATGAGAGACATGTTAGTAAAGACTCAATAATGTAATCCATGTATTAACGTTTCTTAACGCTAAAATTGTTTATTTACATGTACATAGATCCAAAGAGCCTAATTATGATTTTTATGAATCATTTTATCTTTTTTTTCTACTTCTACTCATGAACCCAAGCTAGTATAAGAATGTTCATATCTCTCAAATACATAAATTGTTCTTTGAACTTGAGAGACATATCAATGTAGATTCAATGTAATTCACATTAGTATTCCTAGTATTAAAATATCTAATTATGACTTTCATGAATCATTTTATTTTAATTTCCTCTTCATCTATAAATCCGAACTGATATAGGAACATTCATATATACCAAATACACCAGTGATTCTGTGATTTTGGGAAATGAATCTGTCCTTTCAACGTTTTGGACCCGCATTCCACCCCATTCACCCCTCTTTAAAATTTTCTCTCTCTTTTTTTTTTGGCCATCCTTTAAAATTTTGTTGTTTATATTCCCATTAATTATATAAGATGATATAACTCGCACTTAAATTATTTACATTAAAACTCCTTATCAAACAACTTACCAGTGGCAAGTAAAGACATTCGAATTATTTTACAAATAAAATAAAATAATATTCTTATCGTAAAATTAAAATAGTACACTAAAACAATCTAAAATAAAGATAAAAATGAAAAATGAGATGTGAAGGTAACCTTAAAGAGTTAAATTTGCATTTTAAGTCAGGTGAAAACTATTTTTTTTAAATGATAAAATTCCATTCACCCAATCACTTTTTGTGCGTATTTGATTTTTAGAAGTCTGGAGCCGAAGTCTTCACTGCCAAAATATAGTTAGAGTCTACCTAAGTACTATGCTTGGACCTTGATTGGTGTTGGAGGCAAATGGTTTTAATTGTAAAAGTTTGCCAAAGGTCACAATTTGTAGCTTCCTGAACATCCCATTGGATTAGTTGTAGAGAATTGATCTTGTGCCATACAAACTGAATACATGAAAGAAAAAAATTGTCTCATAAAATGTAGACGAACTTTTTTAAAACTGATCCAAAGTTTCACGATTAGGGGTGTGTTTGGGTGACACCCCAAACACCCCCTCTAAAAACCAAAACCATGGTTTTGACTCCAAAACCATGGTTTTGGAAAAAAGCAAAATTTTTTTGCTTTTGGAGAAAAAAGGGGAGTGTGAGAGCTATATGATATGTATCTTGTTATTTTTTTTATAAACATATTTTTTGATAAACATATTTAATCTTATATTTTATAAATATATATACACATTAATTATTTATTAATTATATTATCTTATGTATTATTAATTATGTTGGTAAAAAATATATTATTAACAATTTTATTCCTTCAAATTAAAATATATCATAAAATCTATTTTTTCTGTAATTATCATATTAACTTATGTCTTTTTTTTAGTAATTTGTATATATAAAAAGTGCTTCTGATAACAACTATCCAAACACTCTCACTTCTCAAAATCACTTTTTTACAGAATCTATTCTCCACAGAATCTATTCTCCCCAGAATCTATTCTCCAGAATCACTTTTCCAAACCATGATTTGGTTTCATCCAAACACACCCTAGGTCGTGTTCCATTATATATTTACACAAAATCTAATGCAACTTCAAATTTTCAACCACCAAAAATACCCTTCATGTCTTTTTCATTTTTGACAATGCAACTTTATTCATCATGCCCAGCATACCAACCCATGTCTACTTCACTCTTTTTTGCTGTGCTTTTATGTTACTTCGTTGTCACTCAATCTCTCTGACCCTCACATAGAAACCACATCTCATGTCAAGAAGCCCTGGTTTTCTTTATTCTTTCAATCCAAGCGTGCCTCCATAAAACTACACTTACGTTCCCTTAAGTTCATTTCTCAAGAACTTGAAAGCCACGCCCATCTAAAATATATGAAATTTCTTACATAGATAAGCAACATAAAAGCATCTTCTTGAGGGAATTGCATTATATATGCATCTCTTGGCATTGTTGAAGACTAAGTGGTCAGGCCTCTGAATTTGGCCACTTTGATTTTATGTACAGATCATTTGATCCCTGTATTTTAGGGGGGAAAAAACAGGGATAAGGACATTTTAACGACAAAAGTGAAGTGAAAAAAAAACATCAGATATTGAAAAAAGAAAGAATTACGCTCACCACTAGCTGGAGGCAAACTTTGGCTGAGGAACTTTGCAGCACCTTCTTCCACTCCAACTTTAGATCAAGAGAAAAGAAGGCAATTAGATATAGAAACAGAAACAAGTTTTCTGTAAGCTAATTAAACAGAATTTTCCGTATATTTAAATTTCAAGATATGGAAAATGTACCGTACAAGCAAACACATGGATTAAAATGCAAATTGTACCTGAGAAGGTAGAGTACAAAGAAACCACCAAAGAACTGTGATACGAGAGAGAAACCCTGGGAGAACAAATTCAAAATCACGGATTAGAATTATTCTATATCACAGGAGAGGCGCTGTAAAGTGCAGAAGCAGACGCAATGAGCGTACATGAGAGAGGCTTCTGGAAGCAGCAGAAGAAGAGGAAGAGTAAGAGGAAGAGGCAGAAGGAGGAAGAGATCGATGTAACTGTGATAGGGGTAAAAGAAGCATAAGTCAGTCAGTGAAAAAACTAAATTTTTAACAATGTCGAACAAAAAATTCATGTCAGGCATAGATGAAAAAGATATCAAGTTGAAATGGAGACAAAAAAAAAATTCAAAGCACTTATAGGTTATGTTCAGCTGAGGTCTCTCTCCTTTACTACTTGAGATTGGCATGGAAAAGGGATAAAGCAAAGCAAACAAAGAAAAAATAAAAACCTAAGATGTCATAGGCAGGAAAAATAACTTCAGTAAGGAATAAGTAACCACTTTTGAGTCTTTTAAGCACTTCTCAGGCTGCCGCACGATGAATATCTGGTCCCCAACAGCATTTTCCCCGTAAGCATCTTGATTTCGATGCCAAGTCCATAAGGCATACGTAGAGTTCGTAACCTGCGTTATCACAGAAAGATAGTTTTGTTAAAGAAAGACATTACAGAACCCGACATGAAAAAGGGTTTAGGAATGGATTCCATCCATGTCAAAACAAGGGAGAAATGTAACATTATAATCACAAAGAAATGTAATATTTTAAACACGGTCAGATTCTTTTAGTTCTTCATCTTTAGGAGGTGCACCTTGAACGTAGTAAACAATCAAAACAACAGTAAAACAATAATGGTTTGGTGATCTATGAAACGCTGACCTAAAGGCTAGCAGTAAAGTGCATAAACCTACCACAAGAGAAAAGTGTACAATCAGACCATGGATTTGGCTCTCCCATAAGAGGGGAGAGGAATTCACCCATGAAAAAGAAAAGCATAATCTGAAGAAAATACCTCAAGCATCCCATGTCCAAAGCTGCTTTCTCTATATGCGCTCCAATCAGGCTGTTTGCTCCAACAGAAGCTGCCCTTGGCGGGACCAAAAGAAAAATTTGAATGGCAAACTCCTCCAAATTCTGGTATGTTGTCTCCAGGAGAAGGACACTTCCCAGGGTCATCTGCATGATCAACTTCTACTTTCTCAATATTTCCACCGTCTCCAACAGTAATGTAAACAGGTCCACATGGATCCAATGTATAATTATAAACTCTATTCATCCGCTCATATGCATGCACCTGCAAGACGGAATGTGACAATATCATGTAAGCAATGATGTAATCTGCACCAGACTCAGTTTAACCAAGAAAAACATCAATTTTGTCTGCTGCAAAATGCGACAAGGTGGCTATAATTTATGCTCATAAGCATAAATCCAGCAAAACCGTGCATATCCAAATTTCTTAAACGCTGGAATAATAATAAGTGCCTTACTTATATAATGAGGTTTTTAACATAGAATCTCATTCTATAACCAAATAAGCAAAAATGAAAGGCGGTATCCATTATAACAAAGTCTATCTGATATTACAATAAAGGAATCTAGAATATGTTCAAATACGTAAAACAGGCAGAAGTAAAGTAATTTTAACTTACATGGCCGGTAAAAACAACATCAACACTGTATTGATAGAGAAGTGCTTCCATTTCCAACCTCATGCACTCAAATTCTTGATAGTGTGAAGCGTAGCTGTTATACCAGGGAGAATGCCATGCAGCTACCAGCCAAGGGGTTACACTACGATCTATGCTCTTCAGATCCTGCTTCAGCCAAGCATACTGTGCTCCTGAAATGAAGACCCAGCAAAATACATCTAGTAGTAAGTTGCAACCATCTAAATTTAGCATAGTTACTAGTTTAAACAACCAAGGAAACTATCAGGTACCAGTACTGTTGTAGTCAATATATGCTCCCAACATGATAAAGTGGATACCACCAGCATTGAAAGAGTAATAAAAGTTACTCTTCGAGCCACTTTCATCAGCAGGAACCGCAAATCTTGACAGATAAGATTTGAATGTGATCCCATCAACTTGAGGTTCAATCTCATGGTTCCCTTCAATAACCATCATAGGAATTTTTGAGGTCAACGGCTGCATAAACCTGGGATTTCAACATCAAATCAGTCATAACATAGAACTTTCCAACAGATTTATGCTTCGTGAATCATCTTTTCGGGTAATCATATGGAGAGAAAGCAGTGGTTGAAGCAGAATTATCACTAATAATAACATTTACAAGAGGCAAATAAGGGTGGTCAGTACATTTAGTAAGAGCTTAAAATTGCATATATTCAATGAATCAGTGAATATAGTCTCTTCAACAAGTTGCACAGTGCAATAATAATAATATCACTCACTCACGGAGACACACACCCTTACAGCAAATTAAGTTGCAGTTCATTTTAGAACAGTTAAGTGCTTCCTCAATGGAAGCCCTTCTCTTTCACAAAAACTTATAATTTAAATATGAACACCTAGCTAGCTAAGGCTCACGAGAGTAGAGTGAAAGCATTAGGTCACAGTTGAGACACATAGTATTCATATGTTGAGGTCATAAATACATTAGCCTTCTCAAGAGTAAAACATGAGCTTTTAAAAATATCTTACCTTCCCCACCCATCCCACCGGGGCTGATATGATTCTCTAATAGGTGCATCTGGAAATGCACATGAATAACATGAAGCTCCCTTCCCACCTGTGGTAAGGTACTGGTTCGCATATGTTAAGTCTCCAACCATTAAAATCATTGAAGGATCATTGTAAGTTAGATGATCAATAGTTGTGGTGGAATTGCTTGTCAGACCCAAATCTCCAATAACACCTATTCGGCGGGGATAACTGTTTGGGGCTGGCGCAGGAAAAGTTTCAAAAGCATGTTCCTCACTCATAGCTGGAATAGAACTATCTCCGCATTTGTAATAATATTTGGTTCCCGGTTCAAGACCTACAGCGAGAAAGAGATATCCATGAAAATTTTCTCTTAATGAGTGGCGAATTTAAATTATAACACTCTGCTTGCTTGACACCATGGATTTCCTTTCATATGATAAGTTTACTTTCATCAAACCAAATCCTCGTTCAGAAAATTATGAAAAAGTTTATGCATAAAAAACAATATAAACAGAGCTTGAGATATTCATTAATTTAAAAATCAGCAGCATCTTATTGTAGACAAGCTATGAAAAATGTGGTTAGACGAGCTATAACAAATGTAGGTAAACCACGAAAATCAGGTAACCCCTGACCAGTGGCAATTTCATTATATGAGGTGGGCAAATTTATTTGTCTGATCTCCTTTACTTCTTTCCGCATTGACAAGTGGTGGATCTTAATCACTTATAGTTAATTTAATCCAGCGATCACTGCTTCCTACCACTTATACTCGTTTGAAACAAAACCAATAAACACTAAACGTGACAAGTTGCCAACAAACTATGAAGCATTCCATACCTACCATCAACTTTCACGTGGTGAATAATGCCCGAAGTGTAATTCCATAGGCCCTCAAAGGGATATAGCTGACTGTAAATTAGAGAACTTCCTTTCTTAACGCTACTATACTTCCCACTTTCTTTCCCATACCATACCTCGCTTCCAACCGATGAAGGATCAAGAGGGGTCACATTTAGACCAATTTGGGCATCACCTGATCCAAGAAGGAGGGGGGGGGGACAATTCCGACCTTTAGAACAACGGTCACAGTAGAAATGAATACGAAAAATTATGGATTGCAGATATAAATACCGGTAACCCAGGAAACCCACATTGCAGTAGGCGAAGAAATCGCAAGAGCAATCTGTTCCGGGAAATTTGAGGTGACATTCTTCTTGAGCCTTGGATCAGTCATGGGCAGGTCATCGCTGCCCCGACGCAGCGACGGGTCGAAACGGCGAGTCACTGGCTTAAATGGGCCATCCAGAGTAGTGGGTATGTGTTGTTCGGTCACTCCGATCTCCGCTAAGGCCAGAACAACGGCCAGCGACATCCAAAAGGCGGAGACTTTCATTGGGTTCTTAGCTGATAGATAGCTGCTCTGTTTCGATGGTGTGAAGGACCCTTGAAGTTTAAAGTGGATCATAATTTAAGTAATTAGTATTAGTAATTTATTGGGATTTGAACCTAGGCATCTCCGTAACGACCAAAGGAATATGCGACAAGGTTCGGAACTTCGGATTCACCAGTGCCGCCACGCCATCCTTGCTACTGCAACGTACACTTGTTCGATCAGATTTCGCAGTCAAGACAGTAGACGTGGAGTGAAAGTTGCTTCTTCAACGTTCAAAAAACGGAGACGAACACTGGCTTCGCCTGTAGCCTTATCACCTTACTACGGGTTCGAAACCGTGTACATGCATGGCCAATAATCACTGATTCGTACTGTAAATCTTGCAAAAGGAAAATCCCGTCCTGTTTTTATTTTTTATTTTTTTTGGTACAATGTCCTGTTTTTAAGTAATTAGTATTAGTAATAATTTATTGGGATTTGAATCTAGGCATCTCCGTAACGACCAAAGGAATATGCGACGAGGTTCGGAACTTCGGATTCACAAGTGCCGTCACGCCATCCTTGCTGCTAATATGGACAATTGTTCGATCAGATTTCGCAGTCAAGAGTCAAGACAGTAGACGTGGAGTGAGTTTCTTCTTCAACGGTCGAAAATCGGAGGCAAGCAGTGGCTTTGCCTGTAGCCTTATCACCTTACTATGGGTTCGAAACCTTGCACATGCATGGCGAATAATGACCGACCCGTACCGTAAATCTTGCAAATGGAAATCCTGTCCTGTTATTATTTGGCACAAAAAATCCTGCCTTGTTGGCTGGGATGCATGCATGACTTGGACCCTGAGTGTCGTCTGTGGACAACAATTTAGACCCCATTTCAAAACTAGTTGCTTTTTTCATATCCAAGTCAATACTTTGGAACATGCTCGGTATTCACTAATTTGCTGATCGTAGGATAAATTCCGAAAAAATCAAACTTGTATCAGAGTTGACGATTTTCAGTATAACGATTTATTAATATTTATTTAAAAAATTCAGAAGAAATATCAGAGGTCATTTAGCTCAAACTTTGACTTTTCTGAATGTCAACAGTTCCTTCTAAAATAAACTTCAACTTTTTTTTTCCAGCTTTACTACACACAGATATATTTTGGATTTTGAAGTATTTTCCAAAAAAAATGTAAATATAGAAGAGGTTAGTTTTTCTAAATCTAGTCTTCTTAACGTTTGAAAAATATTAATGTTATATTATTGTAAGTTTTAAGTTGTTTTAATAGTCAAGGTCCAAAAAAAGTTGTTTTTAATAGTAACGGCATTATAAATAAAACTTTATGCATGACATGTAGATTTTTTTTTTTCACTCCTTTTAATTTTAGTTTTTATAACATAACATATAAAACTAAAATTAATGCATACTGTTACATTACTGTTTGAAGATACATGCATGTGAACCGTGGTTAAAAAAAATAGACACTTATTATTCGTATATATTATATTGAATTTTCTGAATTTTAAATATGACACAATTGTACGAATAGCAAGTTGATCGCAATTAAGTTTATAAAATATCCGTAAAAGAAGGAAGGGAAGGCAACAAGGTTGGAAATGTTTACAAAAGCCGAGGAATCATTACGTAGGAAAACACACATGTTGTGGCATGTTTGCCGTAAGGGATGACGTCTTTGTGACCCTGTTTGTCTTACATGCAAATATACATGTAGTATTATCTTTTCCTGAAAGATTAAGAAAGGAGACTTTGCCAAAGACAGTGTTTCTACTGGACATGATAATTTTATATTTCAGCTTTGCCGAAATAATTATATATATATATTTATATATATAGTTTCAGCATTGGCAAGAACGTCACTCTACAAATACCCGCAGAGCCTAGCCCTTGAGCTACCATACCAACATCAATTTCTGAATCATCTGTTCCTGTTCTTCTCTCCTTCTTATGGCTTCGGCTGATCCTGTTTTGAACTTGCCATCAGCAACATCAAATATCAGGGCCACCGATATATGTAGCATCAAGGTTCTTGCTGAATCAGCTAAGCTCTCAGCCATCCCTTCCACCTACAACTCCCTCACAGACCCTTGTGAGAGACAAGTCGCAGATGAACTCACTCCCCAAATCCCTGTCATTGACTTGTCTCTCCTCCTCTCAGACGACCCTCAACTTCATGCCGAAGCTGTCCAACACCTTGCGAGAGCCTGTGAGGAATGGGGCTTCTTCATGGTAATCTCAATCGCCAAAACTTCAGTGTCTGTGTAGTGTCCTGTGGTCATATATCAGGAGAATGAAATGATTTTGCTGGTTCTCTTCATATCTGGCAGGTGATCAATCATGGCATACCAGAGGGTCTAATAGGTGATGTGATAAGTTTGTCACAGAAATTTCACAATTTGTCTGACGGGGAGAAGGCTGAGTTTGGTGACAAGGGTGTGTCAAGTCCCATCAGGTGCGGAACAAGCTTCAACCCCAAGTCTGAGGATGTTCACTATTGGCGAGACTATCTCAAGGTCATCACACACCCAGACTGGGCTTTCCCCCACAAGCCTCAAGGCTTCGAGTATGTAGAAAGCCACATAAATTCACAGTCCGCAGGAATGCATGCCTTATCATTAAAGATGCAAAAATGAGATCAAATCATATCTGACTTATTAATTGGATTGTATTCTCTGTCTGCTCAGTGATGTGGCGAAGGAGTACTGCAGAGAGACCAGGAAGGTGGCAAGGAAGCTGCTAGAAGGGATATCAGAGAGCTTGGATTTGGAGCCGGATGCCATAGCCAAGGCCACTGCTTTGGACACCGGTCTTCAAGTGTTCATTGCAAACCTATACCCACCTTGCCCTCAACCTGAACTAGCGCTGGGCATGCCCCCTCACTCAGATCATGGCTTCTTGGCCCTTCTCATTCAGAATGGAGTTGGTGGCCTTCAGATCAGTCACAAGGGCAAGTGGGTCAATGTGAAGCCCCTTCCCAACTCAATTCTTGTCAACACTGCAGATCAACTTGAGGTCTGCTACTTTCAAAAACTCTTGATTTTTCCTATATTAAAAAAATTCTAAAACAGAATTTTTTTGTTGGCTTCATAAAGGCTGCAATTTTCATTGACTTAATAACGGACACACAGTATTTCTCAAGGAATTTTTTCCACAAACAATTGGTGTGCAGACAATTTTGTGAATAGCCTAGTCTTCGTGGGCGTCATCGTCTAATCAACACTTTTATGGGGTTTGGGTTTAAATTAGGTGGCAAGTAACGGGAGGTACAGGAGTGTCTTACACAGAGCTGTCGTGAACGACAAGGAGACAAGGATATCTGTGGTGACTGTGAATGGACCAGATTTGGAGAAGGTGGTGAGGCCAATGCCAGAGTTGATGGAGAGAGAAGAAGCAGCTTTCAGAGGGATGAAGTTCAAGGAGTACTATGAGCTTCAGCAGAAGAACAGGCTTGATGGGAAAACTTGCATGGATCACATTCGCATCAAGCCAGGAGAAGAGAGTGAGTGACGGTGGGGTGATTCCAGAAGGGGATCAATTCAGGGTGCTTCTTACCAGTATTGTAATGGAATCATATTCATATGTCATTATATGCCACTTTGCCGTGTATCCTCCTAGTCCAGTGTTTTGCTGTACTTCATGTAACTTGCAGCAATGTAATCAATTTTAATGTATTGATTGTGAGATCACAACAGTACCACACAATGCACAAATTATGAATAATGCAAAGACTCACTTCCAGTTCTTATTAATTTCAAATTATCACAAGAATTCACATTTTCCTGGCCCTGTGAACAAAACTTGTATTCCAGCCTGAGAAACAGGGAAGAGGGAGAACTTCAATGGAGACTTTCTGGGCCAATACCTATCTATTTTGCTGCATCTTTTGGGCCAGTAACTTCAGTAGAGACAATCTCTCTTTTTATGAAGGAAGCCTAAAAAGGGTATCTTTGGGGCTTAATGTAAAATCAGTCTTATAAATGACAAGGCCCAATCGAGAAGAAGGAGAGCGCATAAGAACTAAACCTTTTAAAGAAAAGGGCTTTGGGTTAAAATGTTGGATCCATCATCATACCAGAGAATGATGATGATCCCTACTGCCATAACACAGCATGGGTTGGGACTTGGGAAGCGTCAATTGCACCCCAACGAGTCGTATTTGATGAGACTTCAGTCGCCAAACAAAACATAATAATACAAGGCACCAATAGTTTTTAAACAAACCAAATAAATACTCCTCCGTGTCTTAATATAAAACCATTTAACTAATTTGATTAGATTAAAGAAGTTAGGTAAGTTAGTTAATTATAAGAAAAGTGATACATTTTTCCTAAAACACCATAATCATCTTTTCTAATATTCCCTCTTTCTTCTACTTGATTATGGTTTAGGGAGTATCCATAATGGTAATTTAGAGAAATTGATAAATATGAAAAATGAATATTATATTTAGGATCAAAACCAATTCAAGATTTGGATCCTATATTAAGAATCGGAAGAGTATTATATAGCCATGGATCATGAAGCTTTGCCAGAAACATTTCAATGATGAAGTGGTTTATATTTATGTTGCGTGTGTATAATTAATCTGCTCTAATATTAACTAAGCTGAAAAGAAAGAGGTGAGATGTAGACTGTAACTGTGGTTGAATTATTCCTATCACAATAATTAATAATAAATCACTGTCCTTAACTTTTTAAAGCTGGTGTTGTCCTCACATTTTTAATATAGTTACTTTCTTTTCTGGTCTTTTATAAGTATTATTTTTTTGGTTTTTTTAAGTATTAAAATGACATATTGGATCCAACAAATTCAAAATGAGTTGAGTAAGATTATAAAAAAATAATAAAACTTTGTCAGTATGATGAGTCTTGTAATGCAGTTACGTGCTGAAAACGTAAAACTGAAGTTGTTGATCTTGATAAAACCAAAACAATAACTAATCAACCAACCGAGGTACGTATTTATTGGTCTTTTTTTTTTTGCCAAAATTTATTGGTCTAATTTGTAATATCATGTTTAAGAGACAATCGCAAAGAGTAAAAATAATAGGACGATAATTAATTGAACTCGTATCAAATTGAAAATTCTAAGGTGACTTGTTTTTTTTTTTTGGCCAAATCTAAGGTGACTTGTTGTTACATATTATTTTTTTTTTTTTGCCAACCACCAGTATATATTATATGAACCCTTATTATGATAGATTAAATGTTGCGTTATCAGATACTCGTATTAATAATAAATAATGAAGAGACTGGCTAATCCAGTTAGAGAAGAGAGCTGGAGGAGATGGTTGAGGTTGGACTTGGACTTGGACTTGAACCCAACGGGGCTGACCGTACAGCCACGTGGACACATTGGGAATAGGCGCCACCAATCACTCCGCGACCACCGTAATTTTTGGATTAACGCAGAAAATATATAAATATGAAGAAATATCAGTTGGGAATAGAATTAGGGTGTATTTTAAAAAAAGAAAGGAGGCAGGAAAGTGGGTGGCCAATGAAAGAAAAGAAAGAAGAGAACGGGACTCCTTAATCAGCGCCTTGTGGGGTTGGTGTGGGCCTGTGTGATCCTGCCTCTCCCTTCGCTTCCCACGTTCTTTATTGTTTTTGTTCTCGCTGGCCCCACCCCGGCTCTTTCCCCTTTTATTTCTTTCTTTTTGCCTATTTTCCATCTATTTTCTTGATAATATTAAATAAGAAGCCCTCTTTGTTAAGGGGTAAAAAAAAAAAAAAAAAAAGGAACCATCTTACTTGTTAATTTCATAAACTAACCTTTTCCTCACAATAAACTTCGAATAACGAGGTGCACAATTTGCGATTTGATTGCAAATTAGTCAACTCCACCTCTATTTAGAATAATCAAATGAATATTACTAGTCCTTAAGTAATAAAGTGGGCCCAATTAAGAATGTTGCCAATTTTGTCTCCCCGGGGGTAGGGGGTGACAGCAAAGGACAACGCATGCGTGTGTGTTTTTATTTTTTTATTATGAGGTTTATCTTTTTTGTTATTTTCCGAAAGTCGTGTGTGTATTATTATTATTATTTTAGAGATATATTATTATCCAAATAAGAAGAAACAAGCTGCCCCTTGGTGCAAATTGGAAATGAAAATAGAGGTAAATAGGAGAAGAAGGTCCCTCATAAAAATATTTGAACATATACGAGTTAAATAAAGTAAAAAATAAGTAACTAACATAAATAGTTACATTTTGAGGGGAAATAAAAAGAGAAATAAGATGTTACTTATTACAAGTGAATGGACTGAGCGTGAAGTTTAGATTAACATTATAAAATGAAGACTCTCAACCACACGCGAATTAATCACTCTGGATTCATGAGGAGAAGTCAACATAATTAAGAGCGTGTTTAACGCAAATTCGATAATTGTGGCCACTTTGAGAAATCTGCTGCAGAAGCAACATTTGTCTCTCTGGTGTGTGTGTGAGAGAGAGATAATTTATAATGTACAATTAATTAGTTAACATAACCAAATTATTTATAAGAATAAAATTCATTTCAAATTTGGTCCTCACATGCCCCTCTTTCTCACCATCCTTTTATTATGTTATATGGACCCATATATATATATAACACACACACACACACACACACACACCCACTTTTCCATACATTATCCATTCACATATACTCCTCCAGTTTTAATATAAGATCCTTATATAGTATAAGGGTTTTATATTTAGGACCGGAGAAGTACGATATACATCCTCCTTAAATCTTCCACAAAACTATAATTATGTGTCTTATTCGTAGCTGAACAAATAATGAATGGATTAGGCGAGTTGATGAGGATGGTGATTAGTGTGAAGGAGAAGAAGAGAAGAAGGATTATTGGAGGTTGATAACCTCATTCTCTCACATCCATGTGCATGAAATGGTTGTGGCTGGGACAATTGGGGTCAACTTTAGGTATTTGCTGTATTCCATTTAATTTTTCTGCCTCTAACCATCTCTTCTTAATTAATTTGTACGCATAACAAGTCTATTCTTGTCGGCTTTATTTCTTTATTTCTTTATTTTTTTTATCTTAATCCACACCCCTTTTATTCGTTTGCTTTTATGTGTAGATATATGTACATTATTGTTATTCTTGTGTGTATGCAAATGCGCGTCTGTCGCGTTAAGGACCGAACCGAATCGTGTTCACTAAAACCATGACATGACTTGTTTTACAATCCAAGGTAATAAATATGTTGTTATTAAAGTAATTATCATTATATTGGATAGATTAGGAGGAGTTAACATTTACTCTATTTAACTAATTTGGATACATTGAGAAAGTTAAATAAATTAGTTAAGTAACTGTAATAAATATGAATTGATGTCCTAAAATATCACCGCGCAACATTAAAATTAAACATGTGAATTTATGAATTAAATAAATTAATTTAAAAATAATAATAAATACGAGGAGGCCGGGCTATGATTATTTTGGGCGAATAAAAGGCCCTTTCAATCGCAATTTTGGCTCCTCTTTGCATGGCAACTACGGCATGTGATGTGGCTGTGTGTCAGTGTCACGTATAATTAATCACTCCCAATTACTTAGGTAAAGAACCTAAGATTGATAGCAACAATGTAATTAACTACCTTGCATATGGATATTCAATTTGCAAAAGAATGAATAACGACATGTGACATTACACCAAGTTTTTAATGGTTATCCTAGGACCATTTTCTTCAAGGAAAAATAAGAGTCTATTGTTTTAGTAATCATGTAAACTACTCATCCGGTCCTTAATATGAGACCTATTTAACTAATTTGATTAGATTAAGAAAGTTAGGTAAGTTAGTTAATTATAAGAAATGCTCGTATGACATGTTTTTCCTAAACACCATAATCATTTTCTTTAATATCATCCTTCCTTTTCTATTTGATTATATAGTTGAGGGAGTATCCATAGGGATAATTTATAAAAAAAACTGATAAATAAATATGAGAAATAGGTCTTATATTTAGGACTAAAATTAACTCAATAATTATGTCCATATATTAAAAATCAGAGGAGTATCACTCGATATATTCTGCAGCAAATTATAAAATGTTAGGAATTAGGAACATATAGATTTGCAATTCATTTATTATATTGTGCCCTACGCAGAAAATGAGTAAGATTGTTATTCTATTGATTCACTTCAACTTAACAATTAGGTCCTGATCAAAAAAAAAAAACTTAACAATTAAGTCCTATATTAGAACCGAGGAATATATTTACATGCCGTGTTTTAATTTACAAAATTTGTTGACAAATACGTAAACTAATTAGTTACATAAATTTCATTTTGTTTGTTTCCTTTTTTAATCAGTTTTACCTCTCTCCCGCCCCTATCTAAATTAATTTCACTCTACATCTTATAAACAACAGTGGCGTGCCCGGATTTTGCTCTAAAAGCTTAATCCATCTAGTTTTGTGTCAGAATGTCTAATTTCAATTTTAGGGCAAATAATACATGTCCTTAGGCCTTAGCATTACATATCTCGATTTGGTAATTTTATTGTACTAACTCTCAAAATCAATGCGCACCCCTCATTTATGCAGAGTATATATTTATGCATTGGCCTGTAACCTAGTAATTCAATTTAATAATTTATCGTGATTGTGTCCTATAATTTTTTATTCATGAGTAAAATAGATGATAGTTTTCAAATGATTAATGTTTATTCGCCAAAATATTTCTCATGACAGTACTCCGTTTAATTAATTTTTTTATTGCTTCATGATATATAGAAAAATGTTTCTCACACACGTATTAGCAAGTTTAACTAATTAAAGCATAGCGTGCGAGCAAATTGCCGAACCCTCTCCCGTCACGGATTCAGATAATCTCCACGTACGCTTTTTTTAAAATACAGTACATTTCTTCATGCACAATTTCTCCTATTTATTTAATTGTTCATCTGATTTAAAGGTGGCTAA